GCATAAAACATGGAACTTAATCCAACCGTTCGGCCCGCGATTACGTTTACAAATTTATATTAAAGGCGAGCAACTGAATTCTCAATTAGTTATCAAAATAAAGTAATTTTTAACATGTAAGTATTTTACGCTTGAAATTAAAATCAAATACACAAAACCATCTTGAATAGAACAAACCCAACATCATGACCAATCGTACTTAATGCACTAACTAAGCTAACCTATATCGCAGCAGAAGCACGTGGCCGTGTGAGTGTACGTCGTACCTGCGTTGCTTTGCAGCCCGATCATTATTCGTCAATGTATATTCATCGAAATACGTGCGTTCAATACCGATTCAGCTTCCTCTACAGGACATCCAACACCACCGATTCGGGATTCCTGTAGAATTCAAATTCAAACGTTGACGTTAACCGTGCGACCGTCTCATCAACAAACTGTTATTCGATGCGGTTAAAGAAAAAAAATCCTGGTTCACCTTTTTTGGTCCGGCCATATGGACAACAACATCATTCCATGTCACTATCATTTCGTATCGTTACCGGCACGTCTTAAGTAGTGATTTACCGATAGTGGCGCGCGACCGAAACGACAACGATGGCGGAATCGAAACAGTAATCGTCTCAAGTATAAGGCGTACAAAAAAGTAAATCCCGCAGCAGAGATGGCGCGATGTCGAGTTCGGCCACTTGACTACGTAGATTTAGGCGGTTAAAAAAGTTTATCGTGCGCTCGTCCGTGGGGCGGCGTCTGAGTACATAGTACGCGTACATGTAATATTGTTTCACGGTAAAACATCACCGTGCACAGTAGCCGATCGTTAATAATGATAATAATATCATATTCGGAGCACGGCGCGGCTGCCTGTGATGGGTCGACGACCTGCGAAACGACTAGGTGTATTCGATACGGTCGATTCGCGGATCACCCGGTCGGTTCGGCGTGCATGTAGAAAGGCCACGGCAACAGTAATTGTCAAAATTCTGCACCGGATCCTGTGTACTGAAGAATGCCAATTTGAGAACAATAACCCGCAACAACTGTGTTGCCAATATCATAATATGTGCGAACACGGCAATGAAGAATATTCGTCCGACATTAATATTGCCACGCTTGGATCCCGCAGATGTTCATCGAGAAAAATGACATAGAAAATCTTTTGGATCTAAACCCGGCCGATATTTAGCAGTCAGTTTTCCGCGTAGTATCGTTTACACTAGATAGATATGGGTCGAATTGGAACGGTACAATATCATATACTTAACTATATTATAATATATAGAAAATCCCCCTCGCTTATTCGGCTTATCGTCGAGCACAGGGTTAAAATCGATTTGCTCAGCGGTGGTGTGAGTCCACGTCGCCGACGGCACATGATATACTTTTTCCGGCCAAGTGGTGCAACTAATTTCCGACCCCAAACTACACACACGGTGCTCGTCCGGACCTCATAGTAATCAATATGTATATAAATGTGTATTAATATTTATTATGTCGGGGGGGGGGGGGTGTTCTTGGTCCCAAAACAAACTCGGTGCCCGTATAGTTAATATCTATAATAACGATCGCCGTCTAACGACGTTGCGGTCGACAAACTTTTAAACGCTGTACTTACACCAAGTCTGACGGAGTCCAAAAAGAAAACAGTCAATAGTCAACTCGGACTTCAGTAATCGTAATACAGCGTGTGTATACTGTATTTATATATGTATAGGTTTTTCGACTTGACCTTTGGTGTGATTTAATTTTCAACAGCTTTGGAGATCGGATTGTTTTTTTTTTTTTTTTAATAGCTGTCCCGTCACAATGCACTCGATGACGGTCGACAACGGTTCACAAGCAGACCTCTGCATGCAGTTTAATCGTACATGTTTTATGTTAATTGAACACATCCTGTGGCCGGTTGCCGATGGGGTTGATGTTTCCGTGGGACAAAGTCCTTTGAAATCGTCATCCGGTGTCATCGGCAAAAGCGCTGTTTTTAGAACAACACTCAAATGCAACAAATTATGTGTGTATGTTTTTTTTTTTAGTACAATTTTCCACGCTCGGCTGGGTTCTAGCACAGTCATTGATCCATCAAACGAGATCAACTATAATAAAATATTATAATTATGGCCATTTCTGTCGATACACCCCACAGACTATAAGCTGATAAAGCCGCCAATTTCAACCTAATCTAACTAATGCTTTTAATATTGACGTTTGTTCTTGTTACACAATTATTTAGTTTAACGCGTGACTTGAACTTTACAAACGCCACGCCAGTCATTTAAACTGACTTAACTTTAATTAGTATGAACCATAAGTCTACAAGAAGAACTTTAGAAGGTAATACCGATATTGATATTGTTAACTCGCTCGTCAAAGAAAACAATACACGTCAGTATATAAACATAAGTGTATCACAAGTACAATATTGGTAACTATTGCGTTTCTATTAAAAATTTAATAATTTCACATTTAATTCGACTAAGAGGAAAGCATTATGTTTGAAAAGTGAGATAAATAAGTAAAAGTAAACGAAATAAAAATAATGAAAAATGTTGACAAAAATATTTAATTGTTTTAATAATATTTCAGCAGTCTAAAGCTCCATTGGCTTATTTAAAAAACAAAATCGTAAAAGAGACAATTGAGACGCTTATTAGACAAGGGCCCAATTTCAAATTTCAATTTTTTTCAAGGGACTTTTAAAAAATTCCTTAGGTCAAATTAAAAATAAAAATAAATATTTTATAAATTAAATCAACCCATTAAATGTTAGGTAAAATTATAAAATTTCCGTGAAAAAAATGTACCTAGAATAATAGGTTTTTTGTGTCTCATAAAAAAACCAAAATTTGAAATTGGGTCCTTGTTCTAATATTATAACACTGCAATCAATAGATGAGACGCCAGTTTATTTTTTTTTTACATTCTGCAAGTTTAACTGTTTTACTCGTTTTTAGTCTCTAGCAAGTTGTTAGTGTCTTAAAATGTCAAATGAGGTTGTAGCTAATGACGTATACGAGATGAGGGAAACAGATTGTTTTAACACTTAATACGTTCTCGGCGTAATAGTACTCGGCGAAACCAAGGGGTTATCCTCGAAAGAATTGTGTCAAGAGTTTTTTTTCCTTATATAGATGTAACCTTACCAGTAACAAAAGCGATTCGGCCGAACTTTATATGTCGTTTAAGTTGACTTTATACATTACTGTAGTTCATTAATCATTTTCAACATTTCAATTGCCATCATCATTCAACGCGCCAAGTGCCACCCCTACCGGTGTAATTGGTATAATCATTTATATTTACCTATTTACGGTTATTGTTTAACCGTTTTATTTACCGCATGAAATAAATTTAAATAATTATTTAGTTTGTAAAATATATATGTTGGTATAAAAACATAGTTAAGGTTATTTTGTCAAGTATAAATATAAAAAAAAAAATTGTCCAATAAAAACATTGGAATAAAAAGGCTAGGTTAACCATACAGCTTGGTCCAGACGTTTTAACTAAACGCTAATTATTATATTATTAAGAACTCAACAGTTTGTTCATAACACAATATTATTATTTGTTTTTAATAAAAAATATATTTTATTCTACCATAAAAATGACTGAAGTATTATTATAATCACTGAAAACAATAACACACATCAATTGTATTAAATTCATTGAAACCTGGCTGCTCTTATTTGGTAAATAAAACGTTGTTAACAAACACCTATATTTGCTAAAAAAGTTTCGTTTTTCCACCATATTTTGTGCATACACATTACACACGTTGAGTCATTGTTTGGAAAAAGACTATTATTTTGTAGAAACTCAAACACACTTTTTAATGACTGACTACTGTAAAATTCAACGGCCAACATTTGTATTATAAAATATATAACATTATAACGGTAATACGGCTGACCTCTCAGATTTTTGCAAACTGCCATGATATTATTATGACAGCGTTGCATACCAGTTATCTATACCGGTTTACTCGTCGTTTACAGGCCGATAAGAATACAATAATTCATACCATGAAGCGACTCTCTTTTCAAAATTTTTATCAATTTTTTTTTTAATCTATATTTGATAATCAAAATTGAACAAAAAACCACATGGACCCCATGTTGAACCAAAGAAAATCCGGTATATCACCTAATAAACCTAATGACATTTCGGTTAGGTCACCTGTCAAACGACGTATGCCGTATTTACTATAGGTATCATAGTACACATGACATTTTTCTCTTGATTCGTTTTCTAAATGTTATCACCTTATGAACCACAGACAACCACTAGACAATGTATACAAACGGATGCCGTGAGGCTTAAGAAAAAAACAATAGAAAAGCTATTGACGTGCCGCAAGAGAAAAACCATCCCTAGGTGTCGCTTGTTCGGTTGCGGGTTGTGTAACAATATTTTGGGACAATCCTTGTACATATAATCCCTAAGGGTAAACCAATAGCCGAAAAAACAAAAGTGGTTTCGGTTTAATACTTATACTAGTATAGTAGTATCGCTTTTTAACAATGAATGTCTAAAACTATCGGCGTCGGTCACTGACTTTATTCAACTATACACAGCGATATCTTCATTCATCTGGTATCATAAAAAAAACGTTCGGATTGTGATCAATACGAGTTGAAATAAGACATTTTAAATTAAATAGAAAAATGTTTTGTTATGCTTTGTAATTTAATACAAATTGATTTTTAATACTTGTTCTATATTACTACTACTTCATACCTAACCTAACTAAACTTAATTTGTGGAAAACAAAAACTTTAATGCTAAATAGTAATAGGTTCTCGAATCTAAATAGTAATCAGATAGGTAATAATAAATATGGTTCTGAAAACTAGTAGCTACCTACTAGTTTACACGGCGAGGGTTTTTAGGAAATATATGCAGGCCGGGGTCCGCCTTCAAGACTGTATCATTAACATAGGCTTACTATACCGGCTATGACTATTAATATACGTAAGTACGTGTATGTGTATTGCGCTCACCGATCGTCTACGTACCTATGCATGTATGTTGGAAAATAGCACGTGGCCCACGTGGAGTGTGCGTATTCCGGATCGGCGACAACGCGTAAACGGCTCTGCGGTGCTCTGTTGCTCCTCGCCGTTCTACTGCTTGTCGTGCTACTGTACTGTTTCCGCTGCTGGATGTACGCGCGACGCGACGGTTCGGACCAGACGATCGACTCTGTGTGAACGCGTCACCCTCGGATCTCACACGCGCAAATCATATGTGCTTTTTTTTTCAATATATCTCCCTCACTCTTTTCCTCGCGCTCTTCTCTCTCGACTCTCTCGCTCTCTCTCTCTCTCGCACACACACACACACACACGCTCGCACGTACTGCAACGGTCGGCTGTAAGTCTGTCGGACACAATAGCGACGGCGGTTTCGCTTAACGTGAGCGCGGAGGTGTGCGGTCGCGCGCCCGCGCGCGCGCTCTTCCGTTTGCCGCTGACGGGCGAGTAACGTCCGCGCGCGCACCGCAAAGGCAATCGATATCGACCAAGCGCATAATATTATGCCGACGCGAGTCCAGCGGTACCGGAGGACAGAGTAACTCGCGAGGAAAAGATCCGATTTCGCGAGCTCGAGGTAGTTCGAGACGACGCGGACCTACCTCAATCAAGCCCGGCGCGCTCGACCATAAGCGTCGTTATCCCAATATGCACTAGCCTAGTGATGGGTATTTACTATTTACCCAATTCCCATATTATATTATTTTTATAAGCTTGTTCATCTTGCCTACATTTTCTTTCTATAACATTTAACAGTTATTCTATTACTCGGTTTGTTCTCGTCTCGTATTCCGCCTTGTGCGTTTCTTTGTTGATTCAAATATCCTCCTAAGAATCTTTCGTTCAAATTTAGCTAATTTATTTTCATATGTCTTTGTTGTTGCTCATACGTCATATGTATAATAAACAGCTATCGAAACTTTGTAACTAGAGGTATTAGTCTAAAATAGCATCTTTGTAGTGTTAAACCTATTATGAGCATCCAACTGTCTTGTTTCACGGTTATGTCTCGTAACTATAATGTAATTATTTTTTTCCTCATTTACCATTAATCTAATTTTTTCGCCTTCTTCTACTAATTTGCTAGTATTAGTTCTTTTCAGGCCTTCCACATTCTCCGCCCTTATTATTACATCACCCGCGAAAGAGAAATAAATTACAGTTAAAAAATTAGAGCCCACATAAAGAAATTATAAAAATTGTGTTTCCCTATACAATGTAATGATTGAAAGTATCATTGTAGTGTGATTATGTTTAAATTAAAAAATAATAAACTATTTACACTGGTGTGTATTAACTGATTGTGGGGACTAGACTCTAGAGAATAACGAATGTAATATGCCTATCGACATTTACACAATTTAAATTTGAACGCCTCAATATTATATTATGCTATGCTTGGTATTATGCCTACAGTTATTTTTTTCTGCTTTTTATTTTGAAATCCAGTTCTCTCATATTATGTACTACCTACTCGTATCGAGTTAAGTAGTTTAATTTGGTTTAGTGCCCTCGAAAAGATTCAGATATGCAAATAATTTAAAAAACTCAAAACCCAAAAAAATAGTCTTTTATTATTTAACACTCAATGTCATACTACACATTCAAATTTGTACTTGGATATGCAATGTCATACACACATAACTAAAACAAATTGACAATATATATTATATTCAAACTCAATATTGAACCAAATATAAAAGTAACATTAAATAAACTTACATGAACATTAAATTAAGGTTTAATCCTTTTTTTGTTAAAGCCTTTACTAAAACAACACCTATTTATTTATGTTATTTTCACGTCAAAATAATATGAATCTAACTTATAACACAATACTTTTTTAAGTACCAACTGATAACTGAGCAGCTATGATGTCAATATACGTATAACGACTTCTGTGTTTATTTCTAAACTGTTTTCACAAAACACAAGCACCAGCATCTCTTAATTTACCTATAGTGCTCCTTAATCTAAGTTTAATTAGCTTTAATTCTGAAAATGATCTTTCAAGAAATATGTTAAGAACTCAAATACTTTATATTAACTGGGACATATTTTGCGCCCCAGATAAGAAAGAAAAATGCCCCCTTCCCATCGTAAAATTTCTTTAGCAGTAGGTGTATTTGTAAAAAAAACACATGATAGTGAAACCAATGCATTCCTCGCTACACTCATAATCTGAAAGGTATATTAGGTATACATAAAAAAATACATTTATTAAAGCTCATACATATTACATAATTATAGTAGGTATATTTATTGTTAGTTATACAAAAAACCCAAATGTAATAGGTTAAGTGACAACATATTAAAAAAAAATTCCCTTATTGTATAAAATGCCCCATATGTATAAGAATATTAAATTATAAATATGTTAAAGTTAAAAATGTTTACGCCGAGCTTTGTCATTGGCAATGGCATCAATGATATCATCATAATCTAACTTCTTTGCTAAGGCGATTGGGTCGGTACTGGCCTTAATTAAGAAGTTGTAGGTAGGCAATTTCTGGTTTTTCTCTTTTACGCGTTGTCGTTGTGTGCGTAGTAAATGAACATTAGTGTGAGTTTTCTTATCTTACACCCCCGACCAATTCATTGTTGAAGGTGACTCTCGTGCGGTTATTCTGGTATTTTAAAATAAATAAATAATTTAATAAATGTTTTTATAACTCCCAATAGCGTGTCGCCCAATTAAACTTTTTTTCACATACACACACCATATTTGTACTAATAGTCGTAAATCGTAATAGTAAATGCCAAATGGATAATTTTTGTTACCTAATTAACGATAATTATCACACGTTCATTAGGTTCGAACGTTAACAAAGTCACAACTCATATAATTAGTTTAGTTAAGGCGGTGAGTGTAACTAGGGCTAACCCACAAAAATTGAAAAATAGAGAAAATAGTACCATTTTCTTTAGAATTAAAAATAGTTTGATGCAACACTAGCTTTTTTTATTTTTATTTCCATTGGAAGGCAGCACTTTAAAAAAAATATATTGCACCTAGTACAGTGTAAATGAAAAACTTTAAAGTTTATATAGTACTCTCTTTTTGTTTTTTGCGGGTTAGTCCTTTCTTGTGATGAACGCCTCAATTATCTTTATACTTATAACAAAAGTTCATATTTATCGGTGTATTAGCTCGATCGCTCTACATATTTTAACCACTTCAACTGTTTACTTCTTGTAAGGATGTTTGCTAAGCCTTGCGAGTGTAAAAATCATTCAAATAAATGCGTGTGTGTGTTAAATATATGAATATATTTTAAGATAATAATTTATAATTAATGACGTCTTCAAAGCACATATCCACTCTCATCTCTCTCTCTTCATCACACATCCCTACTTATTTGAAATATGCACTAATGTTAAAAAAAATGTTTTTGTAAGAAATTATAGGGAACCCGGGAGTTAATTTTTCATATCCCTTAAAAATATAGGTATTATAATCTGTAGATTAAAAAAAAACAATGTTGTACAGCGATGAATGCAGATCACCAAATAAGCGTAAAGCACATGAATGGTATGTTTAACAAGAAAAGCCTTATAAATTATATCACTTCTACCTTTAGGCACGCAGGATAAATTACAACTGTTAACAATGAAAAAAGTACTTTGAAAAAAATTTACAATAAAAACCTATTTGTTATCGATTTAAAATTTAGGACCAAATGGCTATTTAAAATCCATTTTATCTATGAAAAAAATACACCTACATATCTAAAGTACCGTTATTTCTACGCAGGATTTCTTTATAGGTGCCTGTTACAAAATCTTCGCTATAAATGAGGTCATATTTGCTATTGCACAATTATAACAGCTTTTGACTCTTTTATACATAATATCTATTTATCATAACAGTTTTAACAACTTTTTAGTAACACAACGTTATAATTTGACGCCATATTACATTATAGAATATATTTTCAAAAAACATAGTTAATGGTAATAATAACTATGACCGCCATACAAGTATTTATGTTAATAATTATACTTTTTTAGGTTACAGACAGTTTCAAAAGTGACACATGACCATACCTAATTTTTTAGTTATCACGATGGTAAGACTTGGGTTAACATTCCTTAAAGTATGCGATAATTATATTGAGTCATTTTTTCCAAGAACCTTTTCTATAAAGTTTGAAAATATTATCAATTATGTAAATGATTTATGAAGGGCTCACCCAACAGTTTTTCTCAAAACATTAATTTATGGCTTGCATTACTTTTGAAACACACGTGGGATATTATTTTAACTGTAATAAATCTGTACATTTAGTACTTCATAAGTAATACAAGGGCTAGCACTTAAAGTCTAAGAAAATATATAATTTCCTAAAACGCATAACGAACAATATAATTACCTAAAATGAATTTAGTAAATACATCCCCCTTGTGTAATTAACTAATATAAAAACCAAATGAGTACACATTTCATGAATAAATAAATATAATAGAAGGAAAGAAAATCCAAATTATGATAATAATGATTATTGATATTTTAGTGTTGCCTATCTATAGCTAGCATAATATTAATCTATACAGTAACTTCACAAAATAATATTGTCAACAAATATCCAAATTCAACAAAATTAAAATAGTTTAAAACGTTATAATACATAATACTTTTATTTACTAAGAACTTGTCAACATAAGTTAAGACAAAAATTGGTGTTTTTACTTTTACACAAGTAATAACTTAATAACTGCTATTAGTCAGACATAAAATTACGTTAAAAGAGAGTGTATATTACAGATGCAGGGTGTAATACCTATGTTTTTAATATTAAATTCCTGTTACATTGCTGCAGCAAATATAACAATCATGCGAGGCGTACAATATACAGTAAAGACCAATCATTTTTGTTTTAAAATAGGATACAGAGTTACGATTGAAAAGTTAATAATATCATACTTAGCAATAGTAGTGATGGTAAACGGTGGTATAGACGTTAAAAAACACACTATTTAATTTTATTACTATATTATACTTTAATACACAAGAAAATTTATAATACACAACGATGTTTCACACATGGGAAACAAGTCATAATTGTCTAATATGTTAAAATATTGAAACAAAATAATTTTACTGCTTAAATATTTTTACATAAAAAACATTTTAAAAATTTTTATGAATTTTTACCATATGACATTTGTGCCTGTTGCACAAAAAAAACTAGGAATACAATTTCATTATCCAAATTTATTATTAAGGTTTTTATTTTACCACTGTTATTAATTTAAATAATAATAAATTGTCTAAATTGGCAATTGTATATTTAGATCAATATCAAAATCATGAACTGCGTAGAGATCGTCACATTTCATTGTATTACCGAGCACTCCTTTTGAGCTACCATCAATATTCTGTATACATCAACATTGAAAATTATAATTATAAAATATGATCAGTTGTAACTAAAACAGATTTTTATTTTTAATACAAACCTTGTTTTCACTAGATTTATTATTTTTCAGCCCATCCACTTCTGTAACTTCAGAACCATCTGGCGAATTAGCTTTAGCTCTGAATTTCATACAAGGTTTTGTACTTCGCCTCGTAAAAGGATCATCGATTTTCTTTCCTTTATTAGCTTTTAGCTCTTCCTATAAATGCAATTATTTTCTCATTATTGCATATAACATACAGACGAACTTAAGTTTACCAAAATTGCTTTTTCTGCTTCTTCAACATTTTTTTTACGATTTCTGTCGTTTATATAACTGATACTAGAAATGGTACTTGTCCTCATTTTGTCTAAATGATTGGCTCGTTCTTCTAGTTCAGATAACTGTTGCTCTATTCTTGAAACATCTTCCACTTTACCTCTGAAAAATAAAGCAATTACATACGTAACATATTATGTTAAAACTTAAATATATCTTAAAGTAGATAAGATAAAAAATTATAGCTTACAAAGCTTGAGCATCATCTCTCTCTTTCATCAATGTGGTCTTCTTCATTGCATAATTGTGAGGATTAGTTTTAAAACGTTCTTTCTCTCGTACAATCTGACCGATTTATTTGAAAATATTTAATAGTTAAATAAATTACTGTGAATTTGTGGTGGTACAACTTTACTTTTTCAACATCTTCTTCTTTGAATTGGTACGCTAATGCTGCTTTGATGTCTTTCACTTTTCGTTCGATGTCTTCAACGGTAGGTAATGTTATTCCATTTAAATGACACAGTTCTTTCCACTTGGTAAATTCACTTTCTGTGAACTCTTGGTTACTAATGAATTCTAATCGAAATACTTTTTCATTTGTACCGTGCCTATACACAACAAAATGTATTTTCTTATTATTGTAGCCATAATATATACTTTAATAATTTATTATGAATCATGACAATACCTTAATTTTAAACCTTTATTAGTACGAGTACTCCCAAGCTGGTAAACTTTAGCTGTTTCACAGACATCACAAATTTCAGCAACCTTTAGAGAGAAAAAAATGGTTACTTTTTTATGCTAGGCTTAAGACATGCAGTTATAAATATATTATAAGTAGTCTTACTCGATAAACAGGCACTCCGTTGTAATTACCAATACCAATACGGACAAAACATCCAGTAACAGTTTTTTTAAAAGTAGGTAGATGTACAAACCTATAGTTGAAAAAAAAAATTGAAAAATCGGTAATAATAAAATAATTGTAATAATTACTTTTCCATTTTAAACCTTGACAATCTGATTTTATTGAGTTCTTCTTGTTTGCTAATATATTGAACATTTTTTTCACTAAAATTTTAACAAATAATTGTATTAATTAGTAAAAAATCACAACAATATCAAAATCCATGTATATATGTAAGTAAATATAATATAATATTATATATATTACTTAGTATCTGAATCGCTATCCCTAAATGGCCTATCTTTTTTGACAGATGAACTTGAATCTGAATCACTAGATGAAGCACTGTCGTCAGAATAAATATCTGAAGCTTTTAATTTTGTTCGATTTTGATCAGCTTGCTTATCACTAGTCTCTTCATCATCATCGTCACCTTTTTTGTCTTTTTCTTTTTTTTTTTCTTTTTCTTTTTCTTCTTCTACAAAAAATTTAAAACAATATTAAATATGAATTTATTTTAGATAGCTTAAATAGATAGAGCTTAGATAAACTGTTATTTTTTTTAAAACACTGTAAAATTAACTTTTTCAAGTCTGCAAAACAATACTGACCAGAAACTATAGGTACTTCAAGTTTTAGATACATAGGTCTTATTGTTTTAATCATCTTTTTATTACTTATTAAGTAAAACAGTTTGAGGTTAAAAATACAATTCAAAGGATATAAAACTTTCAGAAATGTTTATCACTTAAATAGGTCTGGGCTACCATGTCTATTAAATTTGTTTTGAAACATTTTTTATAATTGTTTAGCAAATTTTAAAAGCTTTATCATTAATATGTAATTTAAGTAATGCCGTTAATTTAAAAGTTAATTGGTATTTTAATTAGGGTACTGAATACCTCCCCTGTAAAAAGAGGTGACTTAAAACGGTTAATACACATTTGAGCCAAAAAGAAACAGATGTTTTAACCACAGATCTAGTGTGTGAAAAAAATGGAAAACACCGCATTCCCAAATCATTACCATAGTTTTAGGTGTAAACAGTTTGAGCAAAATTACTGAATTTAATTATTATTATTCATAAAGGTTATTGCATGTTTCTGACCCCCTTATACACAGTAAGTCAGCTGCATTGTGTCCTAATGTACAATAACAGTTAGTGAAGAGTACTGATTGAGCAAGCAGAAGAAGGTTGCTGTGTGTTACTAATGACCTTACCTTATTTTGCACGATTTCCATATTTCCAGTGCTTAAATTGAGGGGGGGGGTTGAGTATCAGAAATCGGTAGCGTAGCCTTAATCATTTTTATAAGAGGTGGTTTTTTTAGAAGTAAAAAAATGCCGGGTACGCTCTTTTTTTTAAAGTAAAAACTTCCCCCTACTTTTATTTACCAAACAATAAATACATGCCGCCAGTAGCTGGATGTTGCCTACCGCAATCTGCCATTTCTAAATTATAGTAATATGTTGGACATGCTCAAATACAGACAACTCAAACAATTGCCATAAGCTGAATGCATATTTGTTGAAGATGTTTTGAACAGATGGCTTACATGTATAATATAAATAGTATAAATGGTACAAATCACCACTGACCGTAAACTCATAATAATCTTACAATAACTTTGTACTGGTCCATGGAGGTAGGTATACACCTAATATAACTATAGTTAGTCTTAATTGCAATCTATGGAAAAACACTTACCTCTCCCTCTTTTTTCTTCTCTCCGGGCTTTTAATAAACTCATTGCTACTTTTTTATCGCCTCTTCCTCGATTTTCTTCAACATTTTTTTTCCGTTCTTTCACTCTATCTTTAAGGTCAAGAGGCATAGAACTTGATGTATGTGAAGTTTCAGATCGACTGGATAGAGAACTTTTATTTTCTAATGATTTTTGCTCTTTTTTCTTTGCTCGTTTAAGTTTTTTTTCAATTTCAAATCTGTAAAAAGCTCAAAATTAAATTTTCAAATAATTTGGAAAATATTTTAATTTATACCTGGTTTTCATTATTTCTCTGGCTTCAATGCGTTTGAAAATTTCAGTTTCTCGTTCTTTTTCTGTCATTTGAGCTAGACGTTCTCTATCCTCATCATCGCCCATTAATTCATCATCATAACCATCATTAAATTCTTCTTCAGAGTCTGAAGAATCACTAACTAAAAAAAAATGTTCTACATTATTATGACAATGTAGGTAATAAATGAAAAATTGGAAATAATTAGGTATATAATAATATACTATTATTTGACTAAAATACGATCTTACATTTATTATTTACTACGTCGTGTGATTTAGTTTTGGTATCAGATTCATTGCTACTATTATTAGAATCATCCGATTCATATATTTTACTAGAGCGTTTTTTAAATGTTTGCTTCTTTTTAGGCTTTTCATCGGCTATTTCTCCTTCTGACAATGACGATGAATCAGAATCATAAATTGGTTTTTTAGATTTTTTAGATTTCTTTTTATGACTCCGACTTGATGAGGGTGAAACCTTGGAACGTTTCTTCTTCTTTGCTATACTTATATCCTACATAGGTGCACACATAGTTAGCATAGTTATATTAGGTAAATTTAGCAACAAAAACAAATAAAACTTACATCATCGCTGAGTTCTGAAGACTCGTCAGAACTAATAGCGTTCTTATGCTTCCCCATTATGGCTATATATACAAGATATTCACAGTTTCGACTTGTATCAAAATTAACTACCTACCTAACTGATGAAGAAATCGTTAACAGTCAATACAATAATAATAAGTGGTATAGGTAGATGGAGTAATACAAAAATAAAAAAAGTTGTAAAAGGATAATTAAGTACTTTTTAACTGTCAATGTAATTATTTTAATAAATAACAACTAAATGAATGAAACTGTGAAAACAAAATTAAACAAGCAGAGAGTAGTTGGATTGTATTATGATAAACATTTTACATTAATAATATAATAATGTGTATTGTACACACTACACAGTAAAATATAGTAAACAGTCTTGTAAAGCTTGTGCGAATACTGTGGAGCGCTAACTGTAGACAACAGTGGACAGACTTCTACTTGACAAAAATGTACAGTGATACCATAGTGGTGTACACGTAATTTGACTATTTTTAATGTTGGTTACACTGTTCGTTTGCTGATAACGTGCTCGTTTTATCACTATCCCAAGTTAAAGTAAATTGGTTATTTTCAAATAATAACAATAAAGATACTAAGGTAGCTGCATTCAATACAATAGAATTCCAAAGATTTGGAATTTCTACTTTCCAACTCTTAAGACTTGCTCTGTAGTCCATGTTCAACATATATTACCGTCCTAATGAAAATTTGTTGCTTTCGGGTATTCGCTTGCGAAGAACTTTGGGACTGTCTGTTTATTGTAAAACGTAGCCAGGACTATGTACTGTATACTAGTGTCGACCAGTTGCCTCTTAGAGAATCGGTTGAACTACGTGCATTACAACTAATGGTGCCCAACGATAGTCAGCCAATGGATATGGACAGCAACTGTCTAGAATGTGTTATCAAGTCTCTGGAAAGTTCTATTGACCTAAGACGATCATTGATGAGAAAAATGAGTATAATTACATCAATGGATAACAACAACATAACAGTCAGCGTACAAGACATCAATCTAATAGAACCCCAAAAATATCGATTACAATATACATGGTAATTATTTAAAATAATTAAAAACTATGTACATACAATTATTAAAAAATGATACATAATTTATTTTGGTTCTAGGTGTGAAATGTATGAAAAAACCAATTTAGAATACAGAGAACTAGAAGATATAATGGCATGGCTTTCAACTCTTGGTGGAGCGTTTTCATCATTAGGTGATAAGACAGAACAATGCGTAAGAAACATTTTTATTTTGTTGGCAGTTTAGCTTTTTCATTAGTGAGCCATTTAATACTGATGATCATTAACATTCCCTAAAGGTTTAAATGAATATAGTGGTTGGTTCCTTAAATCAATAGTAATTGACCATTCAATTTAATACTTTTTTTGTTCAAATCAGCTTAAGGATTTTAAAAATAAATTTTATAAAAATAATAAGGTACCCTATCTGCTTAAAAAAATTCTCCACTTTTATGACTTAATTCTTCAGTCATTACAGTCTTTTAGGCATTCTCCCATGTTAATCATTTAAGAACTTTTCTTTGTTCCATACCTAGATACATATTTGACAATACTGCCTACCCTAACTTTTACAGTAGCAACGTATGTGGCTAAATTTATTTTCTCTCTGAATTATCTAAATAATCAAAATAATAGCAATTGTTTTTTTATTTTGTTCTGCTATACCACTTAAATGTAAACTCTTATATAGTAACACAACCTAATTTTAATTAAACATTTCTATAGGTTTTTAAACTGAGATGTTATTATTTTATTCTCTATTGTATAATCTTGGTTTTTTTTCTAGTATCTTTATATGTGATCATTATTTACCAACATATATTTAAAAAAAAAAAAAAAAATTTTTTATGAAATAATTATTTTAAAATTTATATTTATAACAATATTTACCAACATTATTATAACAATGTTCATAATTTTTATTATAGGCAATTGTGGCTGGGAAAATATCTTTGCAGCAGTTACAAATTGCAATAAAGATTGGTGATCCATTAATTGCAGCTCGATGTCAACTTTATGTTGCAATTAGTCTTATGCAGCGTGGTCAATTTAAAACTGCCAGGAGAATTATTAAAAAACAATATTTGTTTGTTAAATCTCACTTGGTTGTTGATGAGCGACTTGTAAAAATGTGCTGTGGTATATGGACTAAGTTACGATATGAACAAAATAAAACCGTATAAAATTCTAATATTTTATTAAAGAAATAAATAAATTACTGTTAAATGTTGTATATGTCACTTGTTAAAAAATTAATCCTTTTTTTTGTGTTGGTTTATATGTTTTAAGAAATATATTTATGTTTAAGTATTTAATTAAAGTATAATTAAAATAGATAATAAGTCAATCAGATAATAGCAATGATTATATAGAAAATTCTATTTTTGTACTATGATTAGGTTATAACTTATGGTGCACGGCTTTAAGAAATGTCTTCAATTTTTTTTTTTAATAAGCCCATAATTTCGGTCATTAAATTTTAGATCCTAAAAATATGTTTTCAATGTTTAATATGTTTTTATTTATGAACCTATTATGATTTCTAACCTAATACTCTTGAATATTAACTGACAGCCATCAAGGCATATTAAAATTCATGTTAGGTACACTAAAACTGTTTGTCAAAATTAAATAACTAATAGATTTAAAAAAAAACTTTTACGTCACTTTTTTAATGTTTCATAAACAATTTAATTAACAAGAATAATTTAAAAAAATATAAAACTTTACTTTAATTAAGAACAATGAATTTTATCAGTTAGAAAAAATGTTCATAATTTGCCATATTGTTTCCTTGACTCCAAGCTAAATGTCTTGCACCATCCATTTCGGAGGCTACAGTAGTTCCTTCAACATACTGATGGTTCTGGCCACCAATTACAACACCACATACAGGGCATTTGGATTTTTCCATAGCACCTCCACACTCTGTAATACAATAAATATGCCCATTTCTGCATTTCATCCAATGCCCTTGTGCTCTTGCTCCTCCATAAAAACTTTGTGCCATAGCTTCATGTATCATTTTTCTTTCTTCATCTGAAACAACTGCTAAACCTTTCATATTTTCCTCTAAGTAATCAAATAATACTTGCACCGATTTGTCAATTGTATAACTGTATCTATTACAAGAAGTCACTTTTATTTTTATATCATTGACTAATGCTTGAATTTTTTTCGATAATGACGTTGGCAAGTTGATACAGGACCTATACTTGGGATTATCAAGTACCTCATTCAAGCTCATCAGTCTTGCAGTGCGAACCATTTCCAAATTAAGATCTAACTTTTGTTGGGTAGATAAACGTCGAGCATCTTTAAAACAAACAGTTAGCAACCAAATAAAATGATCAGTGATTTTTGTTTTTAAATCTTGGTTATTTAAGTTTTCTATACGTTCTTTATATTTAGATAAAGAATCAAATAATTTTAGAGTAAAATTAAGAGATTCAATGTCATTTAAAGATAGAAAAAATTTGAATTTTCCTTTTTTTCCAACTACAGGTTTAACCACTTGGTTCCAAAGTTTTTTAACTTTTCCGTTACTATCACCAATTATCATAGAATCAAATTTATTATCTATTGATTTTAAACACTCAATGAGATCATTCTTTTTTTCTTCAATTTCTTTATCCTTATCATCACCAAAACGTTTATTTTTAATTTTCGCAATATCTTGATAAATCTGCTTAATTTGATTCATAAATCTTTGTGTTTTCAAAATAGGTGTTTTACATAGTGGACACTGTTTCATTGATATTTCTTCATCACTTTGATTTATCCATTGTTCCAAAGCATCTGATTCAATAGAATGTTCACAATCTTCTAAATAAATAAATCTGAAACATAATATTTACATATACTTACAAATTTCTTTGACTTATTCATTATATTTAATATTTTGTTAAATAAATATTTAATAAATTATTAATTTTTGCTTTAAATAAAGTTTTATTGTGGCATGTAAAATATTACCTTGCATCTGGATCATCTTCATTTCCAAATATTATTTCAGTGACTTTTTCTTCATCACATATACGGCAAAGTGGAGGACAAGGTTCACCACAAAATCCAATACATGCATGTCCGCACTTCAATTTGACTTGACAAGGAAAATAACAAGGTAGGCGATTGCATATTTCGCCACATTTTTTTGTACATTGTAAATGTTCACATTTCCATTTACAAGGTTCCTAATTAAAATTAATTTATTACAAAATAAAACAACCAAATGAAATTAAATTTGTATAGAATTTTACCTCACAAATAACACATGGTAAACCACAGGAACGTTTGCATATTGAGTGAACGCAAGAAAAGGAACAACTCCTATTACACGGTGGACATATGACTTTGCATGGATAGTCACATCTTAAAAGTAGAAATATTGTTTCTTTTAATTTTTATATATTAAATAATTATTAAGTTGAAATATGTATTAAGAGCACATACGTATGATTACAAACGTTTACTTTGTTACATTTTGCTTTACATGGTATATGCAAACGACCTTGTTTACATTGGCCACAATTGCCAGTACAAATATCATCGCAATTTAGTATTTCTGTACAGGGTTCTAGACATTTTTCAAGAAGATACTCGCTATCTGGACTAAATTCTATAAACACACAACACATTTTTCAATATGATTTTTTAAAAATTATTTACATGAAAAGAGTGCACTTAATAATCACTAACAGTAATGACACTATCTTCAAAATCAATGAAATATCACTTTTTAACAATTTAAAAAACCTGCGCTCTAAGATAAATTTTAAAAGCCAAATAAGAACAAATAAAATTAGTCATATTATGTTAATCCGAAAACGTTTCCTCATATCCCTATATGAGAAAGAAATGAATGTAGTAAAATGTATTTATAATTTTATTTTGTAATAATAAATATAAATCGAATTTAAAAAAAAATCATAGGTTTTGTCAAAAGTTGTATTCACGAGGTAAAAGTGACAAAATTATTACTAAAAATGAAAAATCTTGACAAAAAAACTTAAATTAATTAAAATTTTTCCCTCACGTACTAGTTTTATTTAAATAAAGATATAATTTCTTCATTAACAGGCAGCTATTTAAAATGATTATTACCTTTATTTCTGTCACAGCAAAAAACCCAAGCTTTGTTGTGATGGCAAGCAAGATTTTTGAACCCATTAAGTACTATATATTTGCAATTATCAGGATTACAATATTCTTTACACAGACTTTGACAATTATGTCCACATGGTAGTTTTCGAGTACATTTTTCAGTGCAGTGTGAACGCTCAGCAACAGTTTTACATTTCAATCTTACTTGATGTCCACAATCGGGTATTACTTTTGATACCTAACAAACAAACATAAATTTTTAATGATATATTAAGAACCGTCCAGTTAATCTTGACCCTGTTCGCCTATTACATTTACATGAAAACGTTATGAGCAAACAAACCCAAAATGAACTGGGCAGGTTATAATTATTTGTAATAACAGTACAACTTTTTGATACTAACAATTTCTTCGCATAGGCTGCATTCTTCAAAACATTTTGATTTACATTTATGATCACATTTCAACTTGCGTTTACACGGTTGACAACACTGTACCTTATTGACATCGTCTCTGCAGGGTATATCATTTTGAACATGGCCACATGGTAAAATCTTTTTTACCTTTATTGTACAGGTGGAACACTCTTGATAACATAACATTTTACATTTATGATTTTGTTCACAGTTCTTATTCATTTTTTCACAGTTTTTCTGGCAGTCATACTGCAAATAAAACATAATCACCATTATTTTTGTGTTATATAAAAATGGAAGAATTAACATACTAGTTCATGATTAGGATCGTCATTTTTATGACATTTACGTGTACATGAATGTCCACATTCCAAACGGTCGTAACATGGAAATGTGCATTTTGGATCTTTTATATGACATTTTTTTTTTATTTCGTGACCACAAACATCAAATTTGATTGAAACCTGTGATTTAAAAATCATTTATACAATAAATAATTTAATACAGAACCATAAACCAATTTACTGACTTTTTCTTGACACTTGTGTGTTTCAACATCAGTGGAACATGGAAGTAATGTTCTATGCCTACATGGCAATTCTTTTAAAGTCAATTCAAGACATTCTCCACAGTCTTCATAACATTTTTTCTTACATGGGTGGTTTAAATCACAGCTCCTAGGAAAAAATTGTTTACAATTAATTGCCTTTAAAACGGACTTAAAACAAGCGTCATGTTCATCACTTAATAAATTATTTCACCTGGAACATGGTTCTTTACATTTCATGATTTCATGTTTTCTGTCATATGGGTGACATATACTCGAACATTCATGACCACATTTCAAAAGTGTCATACATAGCCTGGTACAACCTCCTTCAATAATCGGCATAAAATCATCACTTTTTGACACCTTTGTATACATATATCTGTGTACAGAGCATTCCAAAGTCAACTCATTACCTAATATGCAAAAAAAAATGTATTTATTACAAGTTATTTTGGTTTATTGTTTACAAGTTATTACAACAGCTAAGAAAAAATATAAAAAATGTAAAAATACCATATGAACCCTGATCGACCAAAGTTTTTTCAATTTTTTTCCAGAGTTCGCCTGAATCGCGCAAATTCTGCATGTTACCAATTATATACAACCCATACTTTGCTCTTGATAAAGCAACGCATATCCTGTTTTCAGTTTTTAAAAATCCTACATTGCCTTGTTGATTACTTCGCACCAATGAGAGCAATATTATATCACTCTCTTCTCCTTGATAATTATCAACAACTTTGATTTTTACACCATTTAAAATTGGATGTAACTTTTGTAACTGTAAAAAAAACGAAAAACAATTTTTTTGTGTAGTAATGTAGTATAAAATGTCACGACATTATTATTAAAGCAAAACTTACTGCACGAAGCTTAAACAGTTGACCACTATATGTTGTTAAAATAGTCACTTGATCAGTTTTATAGTCTTGCAAAATCAAGTGTCTTGCCAACATAATTAGAAAGTTAGCTTCGTGTTCATTACTCTTACTCGATATTTCTTCAACCTATTATTAATTTTAAATTATGAATTAGTAGTTCTAACAATGGTAAAGTAAAATTACGCATACTTCTTTTTCAAAAACATTATGATTGACGAAAAATAAATCTTTAGTAACTCCTAAAATATGATCTCTATTGTAAACTGAAATATGGTTTCTTAAATTGGAATAAATTGATGGTGTGATCAAAGATGATATTTCAGGCCTCATTCTGTGTTGTTCCCCAAGTGTATAGCATGGTACACCGTTATTAACCATACGTTCAAACAATGAAATATCAAAATTATAATTTTTTGCCAATTTGTAGACAGCATTACTAGGACGTAATTGTTTATGATCACCTATATAAAACAAAAAAAGTTATTGACCAAATAACATAAAACAGCTTTACTAAAACATTAATCATCATATTAACACGTTAACGACAAGGGGTCAATTTTGAAACTTTACCCCTGGACCAGGGTATTACTGCTTGTATTTATTATACATTCGTGAGTCACATACGGTCACATGGTCTGTGGAGAAACAGCCTGTGTACCTCTGTGGTGCACATAGTCGTTAACATGTTAAAAATAATTATTATAAAGAATAATATATACCAATTAAAATCAAGTGTTCGCAGTGACGAGTTAAAGATGCAACTATATGGGCTTCTAGAACTTCAGCTGCCTCTTCAATAACAACTAGAATGGAAGAATTTACAAATAATATATAACAGGAATAAATTATATTGTTATATTAATTGTTACCAATTGGTGATTGCAATCCTTCAAGCAGTATTCTATGTTTTGCTGCGCCCGTGGTTGTCATTGCAACAACATGCATTTTATTTAAAATTTCTATGTTCTCCATTTCTTTTAATTCAGTATACCGTTTGTGTAATGATGAATAATACTTCTCATATTCTATAATTTTTGGACCAAACATTCTTTTACTATTTTCAACCCAACTAAAATATAATAACCATCGATCTGCTATATTTAATTTTTTTAAATCTTTTATCAGTTTTGGCACCTGAATATTACAATGAACTAAACTCAACATTTCAGTAAAATAGTTTAGTATACGTTCAAAAATTTCAAATTTTAATTTAGCATCTAAAATTTCTCTCTTGGCATCTAATTTGGCTTGTAAAGTTTCCTTCTTAGTTCCTTTGTAAACATTTTTATTGACTTCTGTTTGCAGTTCTTCAGCTATTGATTTAAAATATCGACAAGCTTCTTCAACTTGTTTTACGGTGAGAGAATGAATAACCATATTTTTTTGAACCATTGAAACTATTAAGTCTGGATCATCAGCTTCATATTGCATATCTTCTTCATTATCCTCCTGAGTTAATTCATCAACATTACCACTTAAATTGTTAATATGTAACACTTTGCAAGTAGTTGATAAATCAGCGTCAGTTTGAACAATTTCCTTTAAATATAAAATTGGATCTGTATTAAAATAAGTAAAGTCTTTAAAAAGCCAAGACAAAAGATCTAAAGATGTCTGGAAAAAGTTGTGATAAATCTTCGGCATACCATTTTTTAACAAAGTTAAGTCTAAAATACCTTCATAACTGGATAAACATTCACTGCAACTACGATAATAATTTATATCATGCATAACACCTTTTAATTCATTATTTAAACTTCGAAGCCCTTTAGAAACATCTAGTGTTCTTCTATGCATTCTAGTCACATTAATTAAACTATACTGTTGCATCAATTCCGATTTGGATTGTCCACCAACCCGTACGACATGTTTAGTGAATTCCAGTATGCCTTCCATAAACTGATCTAACGCATGGTTTGTGTAACAAACAACTAGTATTGGTTTACCGAGTTTAAACGGTAATTTTTTATAAGAAGTTGTGTACTCAGTGTATAAATTTTCAATTAGCGTTCTCATGATCTTCAGTCCAATGAACGTCTTTCCTGTGCCAGGTGGTCCCTGTATAACAACAAATTCATTTTGCAATGCTGCTTTAAATGCGTTATATTGCATTTCATCTAGTCCTAGTTGTTCCATAGAAGGCCAAAGGTTATTATCTAAAATATCAAACTGCTGTAAATTACCAATTTTATAGTAATTCATTGGCAGGCTATCAATGTAAAGAGGATAACCAATAATTTGATTAGCTGAAATAATATACTGCTCCATAGGGAAATTATCACTTGTAATCTTCTTTAAAACTTCCATAGTAACCCTATATGGTTCAAAAAACACTTCACTTTCCACCATTGTTAAATTTACAAAGTGTTCTGGTCTTCCTTCATCTAACAACTCAACAACTAATTTTCCTTCTTGTAGTAATTCTTTTTTACGTTCTAAAACAGTGCCTAAAAAAAATGTCTTGAAGTCATCAGATGTAAACACCAATAATGATCCATACATGAACCTTTTAGTCATTTCCCAATTAACTCTCAATTTTTTGTTTTTATTGAAGTTCAGTATAAATCCTGATTTATCTTGGACAAATTTTCCATTATCTACAAACTCAACATTCTGATAAACGCGTATATTATAAATTCTTTTTCTAGTTTCATTGGACTTCTTATCCCTTATATTTTCTTTATAAAATTGTATACCTTCTCGAAGAGGACCAATAAAATCTTCACGTAAAAGACGAAATTGAACATCTAAATAATGTTCTACATCTTGGTACACTCCTTTTAAGATATTAGGCCGTAAAAATGGATTTTCATCTTCTAGGTCAATTGGCGAAGGATAAACAGTTAACTCACGAAAATTTTCTGGAGGAAGCGTAAACTGAGCAATATTTTCAAAAACTAACTTTTCTTCTTTTTCAACCTCTTTGGTGAGCCTGATTTCTGAAAGTTTCTTAAAAAGATCAGCCATTTCACTTAAAATAATTTCATTTATTTTAACATCTGGACAGAAATTATTTATACCACTTAAAGCTATGTTAGAACTTAAAACTAAATCTTTTAAACGCTCAACCGCTGTTTTTGGAAATAGTTTAGTGATAGATTGAAATACTGTTAAACAGTTACTAAAAAAATTATTAATATTTTTAATTCGGTTACGATTTTTATCGGTAGGAGTAGTCAATATATATGCTTTCAAATGGTCAATAAAGTTTGAACTTATTATTTTTATTAACATAGCTTGTTTGTTGTATTCAAACTCGGTAGAACAAATTTTAGCAGTGACTTTCATTATCAAAAAGAGCCAATCTGGTTCTTTATCTAATTGGAATAAATCCATAAATCCATTACTACTATTACACATCACAACTACTATTTCAGATGGATCCTTTTCAGAGAGTTCTTCGAGATGTTTAAATCCAAAATACCTTTTTTTTATTTTAGGTTTTTCATTATCTGTACTGTTTTTAGTTGGATTCGTTTCTGTTGAGTGGCTCTGAGAAGATCTGTTATGATATGTGCCCGATTGTTTAGGCTGGTTACTGCGCTTTTTATTTGAGTAATATTGTGATTTAATGTTACCATTACGTTTATATGATTTTCCATCACTGGATTTTACAAATTGTCTTGATTCCATGACCAACTAACAGTGATTTCTGAAAAAGAGAGAAATTTATTAATATACATATTGTTATTATATAAAAGTATAAAATTATAAATTTACTAAATATAATATAAAATTATAAGAAGTCAAACTTAGCCATTAATATTATAGATATTTATGGCCAAAACTGACTATGTAGAGGTAAAATGCTAATAATGTATAATTGGAGACTAGTGGTAATGGGTGGCTTAATGTGACTGCTAGAGTATAAACATTTTATGGATAGAGTATTAAAACCAGTGTTCTTATAAGGCCCTTAACAATAACGAAATATAGGAATTATTTGACAAAAACTTGTTTTCAAACATTTTAAATACATCAACTTACTTTCAGATTAATATGCCGTTAGTCTAAGCACAACATTTATTTATTAGTTAAAACTTTTTATACAGATAGCCATTTTAGTAGTAAAAATGACTTGACAGGAAAAGTCATTACACCTCATAGAATGATCAGATTTTGGATTTCTTTTTTTAAAAAGAAACAACATACAGATCACATAGAATTTTATTATATTACCACAGAATAGATGAAACTATTATATAAATAGATTTCATCTATTATTACCAACAATAACAAAAACTTGGTTATAAAAGTTAAGTTAAGTGAAAATTAGTCATAAGCAAACTTTTTAAGGCATACCTATGGACATTTATTAAAACTTTTTATAGCCAATAGGAAGTTATTTTTTTTTTTTACATAAAATTGCTTTAATTATATTCATTATTTAGTTTAACAATTAATTGTAAACTATTTAAAAAAAATATTTCTAGTTAAATTATATACACCTATGAAAAATGTTTTCTAACCATCTACCTGTATATTGTGTGTTGTTCATTGTAAAAGTGAATTTTTAACTCATTGTAATTGAATTTTCAAATAACAAGCTTTTTGTAAATTAATGTACAGGAAAAAAATCTAGTATTCATTCAGTGTTTTCTATCTTTTATTTATTTTTGCATTTATTGGAGTTGCTTCATTTTTATAATGAAAGATATGACTAAATGTGACTCCATTGAGCAAAATATGTATAATATTTTAAACATTTGGATTTACACTACTTTTACAATGACACTACTAATATTATAACAAATATTAAAATTTAAATACAATTACTTGATTTCAATTTTCATAAAACCAAAATGAAAAATAAAATAATTTTTCAATTGTCCAATCTAATGTGCGGTTTCAATATTATGATTAACACTATATAAACTATATAATATAATTGTGAACAGTACTTCGTTAATACACAATTCACAAACTTAATTAAAACTATTAGCAAATTAAATCGAAAAATAATAAGTTTTTTCCAATTATAAAATCCGGCCCTAATGGCCTATAAATAATAAACTACAAAATAAACAAAATTATACAACGAATAAACCATTATCTGTAAATGCGTTGTAACTGCAACTGGAAAATTCACTTGAACACCACTTCACATTCCATAAACATTTAATACCAAAACAGTACACAGTTCTATTGACCAACGTTGAAAATAAAGTAAGTATATATTATACATAATAAATAGTGATCTTCTCTGCCGGCCGGAGTATTGTTATATGTTATAAAACAGCTGACATAATGACATACCGTACATTATACATTTCTCTATTTAAACGTTTTGCGCAGTAAATCAAAAACGCATTTACCAAGGTCATGCAATGTTATTCTGTGTTGTGATTTCTCATATCGCAGCTCTCTACTCATAAGTCATAAATCTTAACTCAGTACCTACCCTCGACTCTCTTCACGTGAATCTCGTGTGACATGCCCAACGGTATATTTGTAAATACGTGCGTGGTGTACACTAGTGATGGGAAAATCCGGATTTTGCGAAGTTCAAAAAACCGGAGTTTTAAACTTCGAAATTCGAAATCCGGAGTTGTAGTATTCGAACTTCGAAATTCGGATTTCGAAATTTTCGTTATAAATCTGGATTTCGAAGTTCTCGTTATAAATCCGGATTTCGGAGTTTTCATTATAAATTCGTAGATTGGATTTCAATTTTTTTACAATAATAAATAAATTATATTTGTTAATTATTTAGTATTATGTACAACGCGTTTATGTAGTGTACAAAAAAATATTTAATTATTGAATTGGTAAATTAGGTATCTGTTTTTATAGTTATAAGAACATTATGTATAAACACGATTTACAAGTCTCAATGACACTTTTATAATAGATTAGAGCAATAAGTTGTAATAATATGAAAAATACACAAAACAATATATATATATATATAAATGTTATAATTTTAGTTACCTAATTGGATGTGGTTTATGTTTAAGGAGTTTTGAATCGGCAATAATTAAGAATGAAAGAGGCTTTAATAAATTTTTACCACATCAATAGTTAATTTACTGGTTAATTTGTATGAGCTTCGAGGTATCCCCTTTAACCACAGGTGTGTATAAAAAATAATTTTGTTCCACGTTCCATTTTATAATAATAATAATAGTGATATTTTTACATTTTGTTATTCCTATAGCTCTAATATTAAGAAACCAAATTATCGGTTTTGTTGATTTTTTTATGTCCTGTAATTTTTTTTAACATAATTATTAACATTTTATTTTTACAACTGTAATGTTTGTTATTAGTACTACCAATTACTATTATTAATTTGTTCATTTTTTTTTTTATACATACACCTATTTATTTTTTTATCTATTCGTATTGAGTCGTTTCTCGTTATACGTTATTATATTGAATTTCATTCGTATACTAAAGGGGTTTTGTTACCCGTTTATAAATAAATAGTATTTTAATATTAAAATGTCAATCTGGAATTGTATATGTCTTAAATCTAAATAAATAATAATAATACTAATAATACTTTTTGATATAAATAGTTAAACAGTAGAACCAATTACATTATATAAAATTGTAGTTAATTTTCGGTTGTTTTTACAGTAATTGACATTTTAAATAAAATGTGCTACAGTTGATTGGTAAATTGTTCTTGTAATAAAATTATTTTTTACTTTTTAGTTCACTTTTTACTATTTTTTAGAAAAGCATGTTTTTAAAAACAAAGTTTTATTTATTTATTTATTTTATTTTTTACTTTTTAGTCCTATTAAAGGTACTTAATAATTGGTGAATAGATTACTAAATTCATTTTAGAAGATTTGAAAAAAAAATTAAATTTTAGTGAAATAGCCGCCATATTTGACCCCCCGGCATTTGCGACCTGGATGTCTAGGTCCCAATATTTTGACGGAACATTGTATTGTCATCCAAAATGAGTGTCTAGGTTAAATTTCAGCCTATATGATATCAGGAAGTGGGTTAAATTAATTTTAGAAGATTTGAAAAAAACATGAAATTTTAGTGAAATGACCCCCACATATGTCCCTGTGTAAGACGACCTGGATGCCCGAGTCCCAATATGATAACACTATATTATAGTGTCATCCGAGATGAGTGTCTGTGCCATGTTTCAGCCTTCTACGACATCGGGAAGTGGGTTAAATTAATTTTGCAAGATTTGAAAAATATCTGTACAAACGTACAGACGTACGTACGTGTTAGCGAGTTAAAGAAAAGCATGTAAAAACTACTCAATTATAGCTTACAATTTTTAAATAGGTAATTGTTTTCAATATATCACAAATAGTGAACTGTAATACAGCATACTTACTTTGTATTTAAGCTAGATTACATATATGAAACTTAAAGTTCATTAGAAACATATAACTTAGGGTAATTTAGTTGAAGGGGTCCGATAATAGCATTTCATAGAGGATTAAAAGTCAACTAATTTGAACAATTTGGTCATCTTGTACTGCTGAATTAGTAATTACAAAATGGCTTTATACATTTTAAAATCGGTAATTTGGCTTTTTATTTAAACCCAGGTTACGGTTTCTTAAGTTCAAATTTTGAAATCCGGATTTGTCATTAAACCCGGATTCTTCGTAAAATCCGGATTTTTTCCATTGAACTTCGAAAACCGAAAACCGGATTTTAAGAAAATCCGGATTTATTTCCCATCACTAGTATACACCAGTGTACACACTACACGTATCGAAGTATAAATATATGACCTATATATTTACCTATATTAATTATTATATACGTATACATAACTATTTATCAAACTGTGTAAAGTGTTAATTCGAATGTGCATACATCAAGTAGTGCGGCAATAGCGCTCTTACGTCGGTCCCTTACAGAATGATATACATGTTTCGTCTAGATTCTAGTCTAATAGTACAAAGTCTATGGAAATGTGTATCCAAAAATTGACTTATACATTAACACATCTGTCAATTTGGTAAAGACTGCTGTGTTCTTATTGTCCTTTCACCTGATAGCCCCCCCTAAGGCCTAGGCCAATGAACACCATGGGTCCTGGTTAGGTCAATAAAACTTACTGCCCGTCATCGACTTTAAACCAAGTATATCTAAATAGGTATAAGCTGCCTGTAATTGATTGTACGCCCACCCTGATTTTGTGCGAAGTGTTACAGCTTAGTGTTTACTACTTATATTTTATGAAGTCATTTTGAACACCAGAATTAAGTCGAGCTCCTATTAACGTATATGTTTGAGTTTTGGCAAAACTTAGTTCTTAAAGATACTTGGGTAATTGTGTATAATTAACTATTAAGGTAGATTTATCCACCTTGTGTAATATACTATATAGTCTTTAGGTCAAACTAGGTTAGTCACTTGTTAGTTGTTTAACAAAGATAACCTAAACGTTATCTTATTATTATATATGTCGTATACGGTATTATCCAATACGCTCTATTTACACTAACTTACTCTTTCAATCAGTTAAACTAAGATTCTTTAAAGTTAATCAAAACCAATGCCCAGTGCACTTAATCCTTTCGGAACTATACTTCATCCAGTGCAAATGACCTACTACATATACGATTACTTTATAAAATTATTTGAAAATTCTATATGTAATATAGATTATAGTAAAAATTGAGAGTTAATACCCTGTAGCCACACTTCACGATAGATGCTCGCATTGTAAATTATCTGAGATTTTAAATAATACTATTTATCATTTAACTTAAAATTATTATATTTCGTATTATGTTCAAATTGTATTGACTTCAGTAATCTATGAATAACGACAACCCTGATTCAAATAAATTAACTTACTTAAATTGTCATATCCAATTGTTCACTTTTTATATCAATCGTAAAAAATATAACCACGACTCCAAAGGAAGTAAATAAAACTAAAATATTACAACTTTGAATTTAACTTAAGAATAATAAAACAATAAACACAGCAGCACTGCAGACTGTATTATAAAGTTATTTTTTAGACGATCAGTATACACATTACACTATGTAGATGTAAGTAATTACTATGTTTAATGTGTAATGACCACGATTCAAGATAAAACTGATATCACAAATCAAAGGACACATTTATTCTTTGTTGCAACTAAGTATAAAATAATATAATATAAACAATAATACTGATTACATTAAAAACAAATACCTATAATTTATATTTTATTATGATTATTATGAGAAGGCGACATAACTATTTTAAGTTTATAGGACTTGGACGGTTTCTGTATATTTTTTACCTAATAAAAATATGTTAACTGATGATTTGACAAAACTTGATTTCAGTTTTCACAATACATTTTGGCAATTACCAATAAAAATTTTTAAAAAAAGTGTAATTGAATTACCAATTACAAAACTTCTATAAAATAATTAAATTAATAAAAAATATTTCTAAAATTATTCCATTTGTCCTCTTTCTTCAGTTTTTTATCATTGTCACGATAAAAAATACTTGGGTCTATTTATATTTCATTATTAAGTAAATTATAAATTAACTAAAACAAATATAATTTAAAACCCTTATTAGTTTTAATTGCACATATATTAATTAACAAATTTAATATAATACTTCTATAGAAAAAATTGAAAAATTATAGTCTTAATAATCAAGCATAAAATCTAGACTACACAGAATCATTAATATTATGAAAATAAAACATTTGGAGACAATTATATAAAAAAATAGTTTAAAATGACTTTTTTTGAACTTCATTATAAGCTCATAAAAACTCACTTGCCTCTGCCGAATATACTTTTCTAACATAACAAAATTAATAAATACAGAATGATTATATATACCTATATTTGTTTTATTAATTTACTTCATATTGTTTTTAATAGTAAATTATTAGACATTGGTATTTAGTGTTGGTTAATTTGCATTTAAAATGTTAGAAGGAGAAATATCAATCGAAACAGCTGGAAGAGTTAGATGTGACAATTGTACCGGTTCCTTATTATTACTTTGCTTTGATATGCATTTATGATTTTTCATGCTTTTGTAAAACGAAAACGTCTTAAAGCATTCAGAACAAGTATATCTTTTTTCACCAGTGTGTGTTCTCATGTGTTCAGATAGTCCATCTTTTCTAGCAAATGCCTTGGAACACAGTTGACATTGGAATGGTTTTTCACCAGAATGAGTACGTGAATGTTGTATAAGTTGATATCGAGCTAGAAACGCTTTGTTACAAACTTCACATACGTAATTTTTAATTCCAAAATGAATTTTTTGATGATCCACTAACCGAACTTTAATTTTAAAAGTTTTCCCACACACATCACACACATATGGCTTATTTGAATTATGTGTCTGCTTGTGAATGTAGATTGAGCTGTGACTTGAACCAGTATAACCACATATATTGCATTTAAATAATTTTTCATGTAAATGAGTTCGTTTATGTGAAGTAAGACCCAGTTTAGACGCATAAGAATTGCCACACATGTCACATACAAATGGTTTTTCACCAGTATGTACCCGGATATGTGTTACTAGAGCAGCATTACTAGCTGTAGTGAGATTACAGTACGAACAAGTAAACATTCCACTATGCTTACGCATATGAGTACGCAGAGTGGGTTTAGATTTACAACGAACGTTACATATATCACAGCTAAATATTTTTTCCGAATGGAAAGCATTCTGGTGAATTTTTAAACGACTATCAGTTAAAAACAACTTTCCACAAGTCGGACAACTAAACTCTTTGGCCATATCATCATGTGTTGTGCGATCATGACTAGATAGATCACAAAAACGTGAATATGCAACATTACAGAATTCGCAAGAGTATGTTTTTGATTGAAAACGTCGATAATGTTCACGATATTTCGCTCTTTTATCTTCGAGTGTCTTAATTTTTTTTCTTGTTTTCTGGATATTTATGGAGTTATCATTATCCTTGCATTCATTTTCAATATTAATATTGCCCATGCTTTTTAAACATAATTCATCACGGTAGCTGACAAGAGTGTTTTTCTGCCTATCTGAACATTCCTATTAAAATATTTGATATTAAAAATAAAAACAGTGATGTTAATAAAAATATTTACTTGTTTTGATAACTTAGTTATAGAAACAGATATGTCTTGATGTTCAGCTGAAGTATGCAAAGAAAGTCCAAACGCATCAAGAAATCCAGTATGACAAAATGAACATAAATGTGGTATAAGATCATTTTTCAACGCATGACTTCTTAAGTGTCTATAGAGACTCCTTGATTGGCTAAATTTACAAGCACAAAGACCGCAACCAAATATGTGACTTTTAACTTCGTTCTGTGCCAGGTTAGAACAATTAATAACCATACTTCTAATTATAAAATGTAATTACTTAATACCTGACTCTGAGTATGACATTTTGGATTAGATTTCAAATGGTCTTGAAAGTTTTGGTAACTGTAATAACCTTTACTGCATACTAAACAATAATGTGGAATATTAGTATTATTACCATCTTTAAAATGAACGTTTATAAGATGTTTGTACAGTGAATCTTTATTGGTGAAAATTGTTAAACATATTCCACATTCGTATTTCTTTTTTTTCGCTATTTTGGTATTCACACCATCTAATTTTTCAAAATTATGTTTATCTGTCCTGGCATAACTTTCTTGAATCTAAAAACAAACAATGAATAAATAAATAAAAAATCATTAATATAAAAACCCCTTCTAAAAGTTCAGATATTAATTTTGATTTTAACACAACATGCTTAAAGCCATGTACTTTTATTCGACTAAGGTGGAATAAAGTTAAAGTGAAGTAAATTTTTATTTTATCGAGTCAAAATCCAAAAAGCCAAGAATAGATTTTTAGGCTTAGAGTTGTGCAGTAGCATAACCCCTAGCTCTGACAAAGGTGGTTTTTGTATTAATTTGAAGATATTTTAAAAAAGTAGTAGAATAATAATTATCAGTCCTTATTTGCAAACAAAGATATATTTTATTTTTAATTAATAAATGTACAATATTAATAAAACAATGTCCAAACTGAATGATAAAACAAAAAAAATGTGTTTAAAATCACTACTGAAAAAATAAGTATTTGAAATTCAAATAGTTTAATTTTTTTCAAATTTTATTGATATAGTTTAGTTTTATTTAATTACAATTTAAAATGAATATATCATTAAATTGAATTCATATCTAAAAATTGTTTTTAAATAAATTATTTATATATAAGACTTTTAAATAACTAAATTATTTTAATTTTTTTTTGTAAAAATCCAAATTTTAGTCCGTTCTTAGTAAAAATCAGTATACCAATAGTTCAATAGAAGAATTTGATTTCAACGATTCATTATCAAAATGTTGATCTTCACAATAATTTGGTGAACTTGTTAGTAATGCATCTCCACATTTAACTAATATATCACTCAGAGAATTGAATTTCGTCCCATCTGAATGGTTGAAATATTCTTGAATTTGTTTGTTTGAAGCTATACATACATCTCTAAAATTTTCCCAATTTTCTAGATGATTTAAACAATTAATGCACATACAACCAATTCTTGTATCATGCTGCACCTACAATATCAATAGTGTATAAATATACACTACAATTCTAAAATTCAATGTTTGATTGACTTCTTACTTCTATTCCAACACAAGCTTGTATACGGGTTGACAAATCATTATCAGCATTTAAAATAGGACGGAGTTCAGATGTCTTAACTAAACAAAGTCTACATAGTTCATTCAAATTTATATCAAACTTATTCATTACTACAAAACTAAATAAACTATTTTTCTTATTTTATGTATGAATGATTATTTTAACTTCACAATTCGCAGTAATAATAGAAATAAAATACATTGCTATACTACAAAAAACTAAATACGAGCTAACTAGCGTCACCATAAATATTTTATAATTTCCGAATAAATCATAGTCGTATACTATTAATTCTATTTTATTTGTTTAAAACACCAAAATATACAAATCTTATATGAAAATCCAAAACTAAATGAAAGGCCTATGCCATACATTATATGATTTATAAAGTACTATTAATTATATTATTTAAAATTATTTATTTTGTCATATTATTGCTACAGGTATTATTATTATTTATATTGCTATTTGGTATCTTTCATTTGTTTTTATGATAATTGAATATTGATAGGCTATAGCAGTTGATATGATATCACTATTTTGATCAGGTTATGCCCACATATTTTATTTGTACTCATTTTTTCTACTCTCTAGTTTTTGTACTAACCCTAGATGCTACTAAAAAGCGAATTTACAATATTGGTATGGGACGTTTTTTAACGAGAGAAGATGTTTTTGAATTAAGACACAAATCTTCAAACGCGTAATATAAAGTTGTGAAAATCATTTTTAATGAACTTGATATTGTTCGGGACCATAATATTTTATATAAGACCATGGCTGAAAATGATGTTTTCATTATTTTGAAATAAATGACTTATGGTTATAACTTATAACTTAAACTTATATTTATAGTTTCAACATTGATTAATAATATTATTATTATTTATAATCAATGTTTATGGTGATAACAACTTTTTAGCAGACCGCAGTTAGCAGCCTGCCTGTCGCGATATGCCCATATCACCCCTGATGGGGTTCCGGTAATAAATTCTCCCGGTCATAAGCAGAGCTGATAAGAATTCTTTTATTATCTATGGTTACCGGTCCCCGGTTTATATTAAGATTGTTGATAACATATTTTCTATACCCCCTCCTCTAACAAAGCATCCATTAGCATAGGACATAGCATAGCGTCTGTGTATGTGATATCTAAGGCCGTTTGAATAACAGTTGTTTATTTTATTCGTTATTCCATTGGCTATTGTGTTATGTAGTAGTCTGTAGTGTAAACCAACTGCCGTTAGTGGTTGGCTCATTTTCATTATCAATTCGTTTATGTTACCCACGTGTTTATATTGTTTTAGAAAAACTTTTTTCGATTTTTACTTAATTATTTTAATTTTCTTCTTCAACTTAGGTACCAAATCTTTAGTATAAGTGTAACATGGCAGAATTAATACAGGACGATAAAAAAGTGAATGTATTGGTACGCGAAATCGAGTTCACTAAATTGGTAGCGTCCAATGATCCAAAAACCAGAAACGAAGGATTAAAAAAATTGAAATCGCTTATACAACTTCATTCGGGCGATTCCGAAGATGGTATGATTTATTAGTTAGTTAACTAAAAAATACTCAATTATACAATTGAAATCCTCTTCCTTTTTTTTCACTGAGAGTACTTAATTTCTGTATTGTGCCGATAATGTATTTTGTTGTTTTTCAGCATTTGATTTAAATGATTATTTACGATTATGGAAAGGCTTATTCTACTTTATGTGGATGTCGGATAAACCATTACCTCAGGTAATTTAAAACTATTATAGAATCAGTTATCAAAATTAAATATTTTTTTAACATCTTAGGAAGCTGCTACCGAAAAGATAAGTAATCTTTTTCACAGCTGCACATCCACCCATGGTAAAGCACTCTTTTTAGAAGCCTTTTTTCTTACTATCAAAGACGATTGGATGTCTATTAGTCAACACCGAATCGATAAATTCATGATGTTGGTGAGACGTTTTTTAAGACAAATGTTTGTGACTTGTGTTAATTCCAATTGGGATTTAAAATATATGGAAAAGCTAAATGTTATTTTTTATAATGCTCTTAAATCATTTACCTTAAGTTTGAGATGTCATGTTCAAGAAATATTTCTAGAAGAACTTGCAAAGGTAAGTTTATTATGCTTGATGGCATCTTTTATTTCTAGCTAGAATTATAAACAAGATACATTTTAAGTTAAGGGCCCTAAGAGATTTTTTCTTCAAAATGTGTGTTGTTTTTGCTAAATAGATGATGTTTAAGTACTTTACCATTCACCTTTAATTTTTGAGTAAATGCGAAAAAATCAAAAGATGCTTTTTAAAATGGAAATATCAGCAAGTCAGAAGTAAAATACTTCTTTTTCAAAAAATATCTGAATAAACTGTTTTATTTAGTATAAAAAACACTGAAAAAAATCGCTTAAGCCCTACCATAGATTTATATTCTAGTATCTTATGCTCTATAATTTGCCCTACGTAAGAAAGGTAGTACGGTACGACAAAATCTAGTCTATCTTGCGCATCCCTACATTGCACTTTGCCTAATTCTCCTTCCATGTGCAACACAACGGACAGCGGTTGGCAACAATCAGAAGATATCGCCGTCAGTATTCATTAATAACCGGGCACATAGAGTGAGTTTGATAAGCCCAGCAGTGCTAGACGCCTCATTCAAGATGCACAAAATGCTGCCTTTCTTATGTGGGACAAAGTATAGATGTAATACCAATGAAGTAATAAAAAATAAAAACTGCAAAGAGTCATTGTCATTGTCTTTTTTGTTGTGTTAAATAATGGAATAGCTTGAATGAGAATGATATAACCCAACAAAAATTTAAGGCCTGCAGTTGTAGAGTTGTGTTAATAGGAGTAAAAACGAGAAAAAAGTACATACATTAATTGATTTATTGGAAAATAAAGTAAGAAACAGCCTCCTCCCCCAATAGCATATTTTAATGGTACAAGAATGAAAAAAAGTAGGTAGGTAGATTTAAAAAAAAAAACATGGAGATGCGTTAAGAATTTGGTTGGTCACCCAATTTTTATGGTATGGGGTGATTGAAGATAAAGAGAATTTTAATTAATATGTTATAACTTCTATATATGTTCTAATCGTGCAATTAGAAAAGAGCTGAAGCCCCTCAAGTTATATCCCATAAATAAGTTTTATTCAAACAAATACTTTAACTGGTGACGTGTATGCTTTCGTCAGGTTCTTGACACTCGAGCCAATTAAAAAATTCTCTATTAAATTTGGGTATTTTTTATACCTAAGTAACATGCAATCCAATAAAATCCTAAGGTTAAGACAAACTAATTTTAATAATAATATATACAGCTATGTTTTTTTTAACTTTAAAATGTTACATTTTCAAATTATTTTTTAATTTTAGTTAAACTTATAATGGGTTTCTCAATTAATATCTTTTTTTTTATACTTAATCGAGTTTTCTTGAATCCTACTAAACTCATATTGAAAATTCACACCTATGCCTAATGCAAATTTGATCTATTACTAGATTAACGTAAAATAACAATATTTTTTAGCTTTTAAATATCATATACATTTAGCATGGATGTGCAAAATTCAAAATGTATTACTTATATAAGTTATTTTACCTATTTTATTATTGTTTTAGGTGAGTAGAGGAGTAGTGCCTTCAGAAGCATTAGTCATAATTTTAGATGCATTTTTACATTATGTATCTGAGCTAAATGACTCTAGGCTAATAAGAGAAGTCACTGAAAATGTTTTTAAAAATCTTCTATCCCAATCTCCGGATGTAGAAATTTTAGAAGCTAAATTTCTAGCATGGCGTAAAGTGAGTAATTTAGTTTAACAAACATTTTCTAAAATATTATTATTTTTTGAATTCTATTTATTTATAGTCTCAGTTTAATTTGGTTGTGTCTAACCACCGTGAAACAGCCAACATATAAATTGTATTATTATGTTATGTTAAAATTCAATTTTAAAAAAAAATCTGTAATTCTGCAACTTGTGTTATACTTTTATTAGTTAACGGGTTCACAATTTAATCCATGTGGACTGAAATTAATTTACTAATATTTGTTTATTTATGATAATTTTCAGTATTTATATTATTTTACTATTCATTTTTATATTATTTTAATAAAGTTTATATATTATTTTTTTTATAGATGGGTAAACCAGGACGATCGTACAATGATTTAGAATTAGTTGAAGGTGATATAGAAAATGGCGATTCAAATGATCAAAACAACGATGGACCACTAGATCCTCGAGCTGGAAATATTAGTGTTGAAATACCACGCATTAAGTTTAATCCAAAATCTATAGCCCAACTATTGCACAGATATGTCACTGAAGTAGATTGTACAAGAAAGAGTTTATTAGAGTTAACCAAGCTACTAAAATATTACAATCGTCTCAAAGAAGGAGTTTTACCTTTTAAACCAAAAGATTTAAAATTAAACAGTCTAGTTCTAAAACGTAATAAAAAGAAGCATTTATCAAAACTTGTCAAAGAAGGTGTAAAGAAGTTGGAAATGGTGGACCGGAAATTGAAAAAAAACCGTAGAACTGTTTTAGATGATCATAAAAGTTTAAAAGAACTTAATAAATTAGGCGAAATCATAATAGAACATGGAAAAATTGGGAAATCAATTTGGAAAGTAAGAAAACTAGTCGAAAACAATGCATCTAAAGAAAATGTAAGTTTAAATAGTTCATGGACTGTATCTGAAGAAACCGAAAATAAAGAAGAAAGTAAATCTAATGATATTGAAGACGAAATTCCAGTATTGGTCCCTGCTGGTTTTAATGTTGAAGTCACTGATGATTCTCCTAATAAAACAGCTCCGGTCCAAGAAAAAATTGTAACTAATGTATTAGACCAAAATGATGTAAAGGACACAACTCCAAAACATAAGAAAGAAACGCCTATTAAAAGCCCCAAAGTTATTGATAGTGGAAATAATACATTGGATGAAAATAATAAACAATCTAATGACTTGGTTTTAAAAAAAATCAAAAGGCGATCTGATGAAATCAGAGCTAACACGAGTTTTAATAGTAGTTGGAGTGTAACACAAGATGATGAAATAAAGTCAAGTCCCAAATCTCCTAATAAATCTGCAGGGTCTGGCTTTTCAGAAAGTATCGAAACCGAGTCTATTCACAATAATAGTGGATCAAAATCAATGATAGACAATGATTATGACTTGCAAAGTTTAAATGAGAAAAATAAAGATGAAAATTGTATAAAGCGCAAATCTACATCTCCGGGTAAAGTAACTTCAGTTATTAAAAGTCCTAAAATTTCAATGAGCCCTAAAAATGCAATGAGTCCCAAAAGTCCAAAGAGTCCAACCCCAGAGAAAAGAGTTTTAAGAAGAAGAACGATTATTATACCAAAAAAAAAACCAAGCGAAGATCAAGCTGAGAGTACACCTAAGAGAAAAACCAAGGATCCATCGTCAACCGCAGCATTGCGTAAAAGAAGGAAGACTATTGCTGGAGAAGATATAAGTATGTTAAAACCGGATGAAATTTCAAATAAAGCTCTAGAAAAAGTGGTAAGTTTATGATAAATTTTATGAACTATAATTTATTTATACAATGCAACAATTATTAATTTTGTTTCTTAGCGAAGTGAAGCTTTTGATGGTTTTAACACTCCAAGAAAGAGCTCTAGATTGTCTATTAAAACCGATTCTGCTAAAAAAAGGGTTGAATTTCAATTGAAAAATAATATTGAACAAGGTAAATTTTACTAAAATATTTATAAAAGCAAAAACAGCTGTGACCATTATTTAGCGAACAATTTAAACTAAGTGTGCGATCTAAGTAAAAGAAACTTTTTAATATTTTTTCTGCTCAAAATATAGGGTCTAAACGACAATTTTAGCAAAGATAATGTAAAAAAAAAATTGTTGTGACAAAAAAATCCAAATTTCTACTAAAAATAATGTATTGCTGTAAGAAAAAAAAAATGTTTAGCTCCTTAAAACTATGAACAATTTCAATGTAACCATATATATTATATATATTAGTAATTTATCATACATTTTTTTAATCTTTTTTTTTTACAGAATTCAATGAGTATGAAACGACATTGGTCACAAAACCAGAAAACCCACACGATGCCGGCAAACAACCTGCATGTGGTGTATTAAAGTCAACTCCAGACGCAAATCGTATAAATCCGTTTTATAAGTTCCATGATCGATCTGTTAAAAAGAATTCGAGAAAATCCATCATTTAACTTATTGAACTTAATTTGTTTTTTTTTTTTTTTTTAATTGTTCCGTGACATTTGTTATGCGTAGGACCAATTATTTTTAAAAATAACTTTAAGTGTACTTCAATATACTTACAGTTCTTTATAATTCTTACATAATTGACTTTGAAATTTAACAATTATCTTAAAATTATTAAATTATTAATTGAGAACAATTAAAACTATTATGAACGTTTCAATAACACTTCTAATTTATTTAAATGGTTCCTTTTTTATTTATTGTAAAGTTCAAACACATTATTTTGAATGACTACCTATAATCTATATATGCATCATTACTATGAATGAAAAATAAAAGAAACTGATACAAAAACTTGGAAATAGCTATTAATTATAATCAAAATTCATATAAACCTAAAAACTATCAGTTTATTTAATTGTGTAGAAAAATTAAATACTAAGAAAATGTTTTGATGTAGTCTGTGAAAATATTCATTATAAAAATAAAAAGCAATTTAAGCAGTATTGTTCTTATTTTTAAGGCGCACATTAGATCAATCATTGGTCTAATTTACAGAACTTAAGTTAAAAAAACTAAATTAAGACTAGTGTCTACCCCTGAGAGCAAGGCTTAATGAATATTTTGGTTATTAATGAAAAATTACAGTGTTTGTCATTATCTAAAGAATTACCCACACAAATTATAAACGTGTTGGGAGGGGCATCATTTTTAAGGAATACCTCTCTGTGTGTGCATTTAGTTGTATATAAACGGCATAATATTTTATAACACAAAGAAATCGGTCCAGTAATAAAAAAGAACACTTTATTGTAAAAGAAATGCCGCAGTCTATATGAAGTACAGTAACAGTTTTCATAATGTATGAGGAAATACCTTATGACTTATGACTCATTATCTAATCTAAATATTATGTGGATATCTATTATTACATCAGCTTTAAAGTGGAAAGTTTAATGTTTAGATAGTTACTCGGCTATGAAGTTCGTATTAGTCTTATAACCAGTAGGTCTAGATTTACTCTTTACTAACAAAGTATATGTTTTTTGTGTATAAAAAAGAATTACATAAATTAAGTTTATTGAATTGTTAAAAAAATTGGATACAATAAACAAACTTGAATTATTAATTATTAGGTATACTTATAATCTGATCTGACCTTTATGTACTGCTGTTTAGTGAGTGATGTTATAGTGTTTTCTAAAATAATCAATTATATTTGAGAGCAATAATTATTTATTTTAATCACAGATTAATCTTTGGTTTAATATTCAATAATTACTAAAATGGTATATACCTGATACCTAACAAATTTATGGCTATAACCTCTATTATATGCGGTTATGAACAAGGGAATAGGGATTTGAATCATAGGTCAACAATATAGTATAAGTACCAAATTATATTACTTTATTTAACATTGCTGAATGACTAATGAGTAGGATTCAGTACTTCATTCAAATACTATGATTAATATCGTAGTAGAACTATTTTTAACCAGTCAAATCATTGTAGTTTATCAATAATCATTATGAAATATTTTTTATTACCATTATTATCTACCTAAATAATATTATTATAATTATGTAGGTTGTCATTTGAAGATAAAAGATTTTGGCAATATGTGCAATATTAGGTACTATATTTTATACTTAGCTTCTATACTATGATTCAGCCAATATCTCATTAAATTCTTTTAATTTTATGTTTTTATAAGCTTTACTTGTTTTCCAATACAAATGACTGACACACATTTTTCAAAAATTTGTTTAGGTACGTAAAATCCAATTTTTTTAAACAATATGGAATTTTTATTATAAATATGATTTAGAATTAGGAGTAAAATCGATTCTTTTTGATTATACATGGTAAATATATTGTTGGAAAGTTGTACTTAGAAAGTGAGATGTTGTTTTTACAAAAACATTATTAATGGAAGCTTTGATAGCCAGAAACAAAAATTACCCTATTACCAATAAAGCATACTCAACACTTAGATTATAAATATCAAAATAAAGATTTTTTTTTTTAAATTATTAGGATATAATTGTATAAATTAACTTTTGCTTTAAGTAAATTTGTTGAAAAAAAAATTGTCTTCACCGAATACATTAAAAATGGATGTATACATCTACACGTTGTAATTAACAAAACACTGACAAATTGAATTATAGTTAACAGTAATAAATACCTATTAATAAGAAACTGCCTACTGCCTAGTATATACAATATTAAATGTATATATGTCATATGATATACATTATTATTATATATTATATACTAGGTTATGTAACTCGTAAGTGCAATATCGACTGACACTAATTTCTATGCATGGGTACAGTTGTGTTATAACACCATAAAGTATTCACACTGAACTTTGTTTATAAATTAGTTTATACTACAAGTTTAATATTATACCATTTAACGGAATACGATTAATATAGTTGGTGACCTTGTATTGTGCACAAAAATAAATAAAACCAGCCATATTTATAAACAAAAACACTTGAAATATTTTGCTAAATGTGAAGCTGTAAAAGCTTATTAGTTCTAAACATGTGATGGCCATTTAAAAACGAAAAGTTAATAGTATAATAGGTAATTAATTTAAAGAGGAACATTTTTTCTATAATTTATTAAAGAATTGTAATACATATTAATAATAGAGATAATGCAAAGCTAAGTAAATTACAAAATTAAAATTAATAAAATTGTTGAACAAATTGGTTGGGTTGTAACTAATAATTATTTTTAAATAATTTGTGCGTGTTAAGAAAATTGTATTATTTTTATCTGTTTAAGCTTTAATCGTAAAATATAAGCTAGAATAGATAACTTTTTTGTTGGTCACATACATGTGATAGTTATATAACAAATAATGTACCTATGTTGTACCTAATGAGCTGTAATTCCATAGTCCAGGTTAATATAATAATTATTTAGATCATTTAAATTTAAATTTAATAATAGCAAGAACACGTAAACTATGGGTTCAGAGTCAAAGTTCTTTTTTATAATTATATAGTAAATACACTTAAGGAGTTATTAAAATCGCAACATAATTTGTGTTAACTGTTAAATAATAACTTACAACTTCTACACCTACCTACATTGTGTCTAATAATACCTACGGGGTACAATGATCAACACTGTAGGAAAGTAACATAATTATAAATACTTTTAATCCATTGATATAGGCTCTTATACAGAACGAGAAATCCTCTATTCTAGTTTTAATTAAAATCTATTTAAATAAGTAGTTTGATTTGAATGATGTGTTTATTGTTCTAGATCTTTTAATTTTAGGTACACTGATCATGCTAAAAATTAATACAATATGTCGTTCAACGTAAAATCATTGATATTAAAGTATACTATGTACAAGAACGGCGACCTATTTTATGTATAGCACCGTTTATGTATATTTTAAAACCAATGGTAAAACCGATATAGTTCAGATATTGGATCCTGCGACTGAGACGAATGAAAAACCTGCCGTTTCCTTATTGTTTTTTTTCCGAATTCCGACTTTTACTATAATCCTATTATATTTTTCAATAATAACAACTAACTAATAGTTGATATATTAATAAAGAAACTGAAATAGCAAAATGTCATACAAATAAAATATAATAACAAAAACGTGAATTATTTTTAACAGCCCTTAAAATTGAAGAGGTTCTCAATGCGTCTATTTCGTATATTATGTTCGGACATAACTTTTTTGTTTATAAACCGATTTTAATGATTATTTTTGCGTCATGTTCGGTATAGCTCCAAAGTGGTCCTAAATCACAAAATTGATATAATAACCTTGCTATAATAACAAATTAGAACACTGTATTTTGGTATGAACTAATTTGGAAAAAATTAACACAGATAAGCGCACATAGGAAGGTATATAATTTTTAACCAATTTCTAGTGATGGGAATCCGAAAATCCGGATTTTTCAAAAAAACGCTTTTTAAGTCATTTGAAAATAATATAATTGTTAAGTACTATTACAATATAAAGATGTGTACCTAAGTAAAATTTGTTGATAAAAATTTTTAAAAAAAACTTTGTCTATAAAATGCTTTCGGATTTCGGATTCCGGATTTTCGGATTTCAACAAATCCGAAATTCAAAAGCAGTTTATCTCTTTGGTGTTTTGTTTTATTTTCACATATTTATCAAAAAAATGTTACTTAGATATAGAGCTTTATATTGTAAAATTATTTAACACTTAAATGATTTTTAAGTAGCTTAAAAAGCGTTTTTTTTGTGAAAATCCGGATTTTCCGATTCCCATCACTACTTGGCACAGACTTCAAAAATCTAAAACAATTAATAACCACATAATACAAAATATTTTCTTAATTACATTAAACGGAACAACAAATAAGTATTAAATTCTTGTATAAAACATTTATTTTTTGATTTTTAGTTAAGAGGGCGCTTTTAAGGAGTAAAGTGTACGCAATTTTCCGAAAAATTTTAATTTAGAGTTTGAACTTTAATGTATACTTATTAATACAGTAATGAGGATACTTTGTGGATTGCCTTTTTTTTTGTTAGACTATCACAGTCATGTCTATAGGACAAATTACAATTTTTTTCCCATCAAAACTGCTTTGCGCGGATTAATTTTTCTCAGGCTTCATATATAGTTATAGGAAAGAAATTCATACATATTATTTATGACAAAATTATCTGTGTTCCATCATCCGTATTTTTTCGATGTACCTAATACAACCAATGCTATATCATTTTTAAAAAAGTCCTTTCTTAATTAATTAATTATTCATTAACTGAACTCTTTTCTGACCATTGTGGATTTGTGAGTGAATTACGACTACTCTTATACCAAACTTGGGCTATGTGAGACCACCATTGCTGTTCGCAGCTGCCATGGTCTAAATGTGCCTAACTGATATCATTCAGTAACCGATTGTAAGTGATAAGTTTAGTAAACATATTATGGAATTTTTAGTGTAGGTTAAGTTGTTGGTCCTATCTATGTTTTTCAGGCGCTATAGCCTGAAGCACGTCTTTCCATAATTGTATACATTTTATTTTCTCAATAAACAGTTTGAAAAAGTGTCATGCTTTAGCTAGAATTTGGAATAACCTAAACAAACACTTTTCGAAAAATACAGATGACGGAATCATCTGTATTTTTTCGATATACCTAATACAACCAACGCTATATCATTTTTAAAAAAGTCAAAAATGACCTTTCTTAATTAATTAATTATTCATCAACTGGTTGAAATATTGAAAAAATGGCGACGGTAGAACACAGACAATGTCGTTGTCTATATTATGTAAAAATTTGGTTTCTTAGTTTTGATTATGGCCTTAGTAAAATTAATCCGCGCAATGCGGGTTTTTTGTAGAAAATAACGGGTGTGTGACGTCCTGATACTTTTGTATTTATTTTAAAGTAGGTTTAAAAAAAAAAAAAATTCCAGAATGTCTATTCAACGTAGTAAAACAATTTTGGAGTCCTACGAAAGTAATTTGTAACTATTCACCACAAAATATTAAAACAAATTTGAAAATACCTAATGCAATACTTTTAAACTAGTATTATTACATTTTTATTAAATATTGTCTTTTTTTTACCCCCTTAATTATTATACTCTTACTTATTTCCATTAAAATAAACTTTTCCTTAAAACATAGTGTATTTTAATATGTGATAGTTGGACATCGATTAAACTATAGCCTATAGGCGTATGTGCTTATGAAGTAAACATAATATTGATAAAGACTATTAATCTTAATATGTACATAATTCATAGATAAAATATGCCACATAATATTTAGACGCAAACTTACATATTAATATAATAACCGTGTATTCGTTGCGTTCAATTGATTGTCATAACAGGAGAGATTCTTTATGCCAAAAAGAATTCAAATTTAAATTAATCGATGAATTGCTTAATAATATGTCTCATCAGAGTAACGCGGATTTGAATGAATTTTATTGGAATTAATTTCCAGACAAAATAAATAAACTCGTGTACTAGATTTGTATTCAATAGTTAAAGTTTAAAAGGTAAATTTCCTATTTTTATTCATAGGTATTGTGGTCGAAAATTTATAGAAATTAATAATATATATTTAAAACGGCAAACATAATAGTTTTAACAATAAATCAAAATATGGAAATGAATTTTAAAAAAAACCTAAAAACATATCAAATAAATGTAAAACAATTAATGATGATAATTTATGAGTAATAAATTCACACGAAAAACAATAAAAAATAAAAATTTACACAGCCATCCATGTAAAAATTCCCAGACAGCACAAAAATTCAAATGTCTTTATCATACTTTTAAATATTTTATAATTAATCAAAAGTTTTTGCCTACAAAATGTTGTTTGAATAAAATACATTCTTCAAAAACATTATTATAATCTATCTACTGAAAATGTTTGAATTTTTTACTTCCTGGGTAATCATGTGTTAAATTTCCAGATACAAAGCAAACTTATTAAACAATTTGAATTATATCTTTGGAGAAAAAAGGAAAGGTACTCCAGGTTTTGCAGAAAACGGCCATGTCGTATTTTATAGTATTCCCGTGGACAGAGTTGGGCATTTCTTAATCGAATAACAAATAATAAATAATTTATTCTAATTTCTAATAATCTCTTTATTCCACCAAATCCAACATGATTTATTCCAATAATTTTTTTATTCGACCAAATCTAAGATGATTTTTTCGAATAAAAAAAATTATTCGACGGTCATTTGAATAATTAAAATTAATTAGATAAAAAAATATTTAATTAATGCCCAACTCTGCCCGTGGACTACCTATGTATATTTAATCTACGAAGTATGAGTCATATAATAGATTTATATAAATTTCCAATAATTTGTTATCTCTTATCAGTTTTTGCAAATTATTCTTAGTTCTTAACCCCGTTAGAAATAAAATATACGAAACGTTTTATGCACTACAATATTATATTATAATATTTATAAAAACGCTAGTGGTCCTCGTCATCAATTTAATTACGAATAACCACGAATGAAGATATCCTAATTCCTAATTCGTTCAAATAATAAAATAATAATGTACTATACTTGCATTATTTGATAATAATTGTATTTATTTAGACAAAATATGTCGAGCTAGTAGGTAACACTGTTATGCTATAATTTCATTCAGTTTGTCATTTATAGGGTAATATCATAGATAATTAAAATGTTTTTTAATAATAATATTTATAATAATTATTATAAATATTACACTTATAATAATGTTTTTATTATGAATGGGTAATATACACAATATTATTGAGGAGTCTTTCTCTGCAGCACCCGACAAGTGATTAGGTTTTCCAGTTTGGCCACAGACGTAGAAAAAAATCGAATGTATAGAATTATATTATACTGCTAGCTCCTATAATTTACACGTGAAATTAAGTGACAACACGAGTAGTGTAAAAACATTGAGTAACTATTGATTATAAATACAATTTAATCAATGACTGAACTGAACAATATCGACTGAATGAATGTGATTTATAACAACAGATATATAAACATGTTTATAAATCTGTGGTGATAACTCTTGTGTGTCACAACAATTATTTATACAATTGCAGTATAAAAAAGAGGTTTATCTAATGTAGCTGCACTGTAACACCAAGTCACTTGTCGAATCAATATTTTGTTGGAACGGCCGCTCCTCTCTACGGTCCCGCATCCGGGTAATTACCCTAAATCTCGGCGTCATCAGTACCACTATCGTGTGACCACTGCCACTGCGGCGGGGGTAACCACGTCCATGTGACGCGCGCGCATATATGTGAGCGTATGTATGGAACCTCGTCGCCCGCACTCCCGGCGTAGCGTACCGACAACCGCATGTCTGTATTCTGTATGCCGCATAGGTAGGACCTAACCCGTCAGGCGTCAACGGTGTGCACCACGTTCTTATAGCTATTGCGGTACTCGCTACTGCATTCATTTCATCTTCGTGCTGCTGTTCGTCGGCATCGTGTGTGACTCGTGATCGTCTTTTGAGTTTTGGCTTTGCAGGCTTTCATTATAATACTATTTAAGTATTTAATATAATATTATTTTTCCATATCGAGCGCGCCCCGGCAAACGCTTAGTTATTAATTATAATTAGCAATATTGTTATTAGTTTTATAAATCGTCAATAAATTGAATTTCGAGAATCGCAAACGACCACCCTGCTGCAAATTATCGTTTGACTGTTTGTTTTATTTAATTTACTTTCTGTTTACACTTAATAATTCCTAACCGCTAACGATAATCATGGTGCGACTGCTGCGATACCCCGAGCCGTCCAACTATTCGTACGTGTTCGACTTCGAAGAGAATTTCCACTACGAATGGACACGGCAATGGATGACAGATAATTGGACAAACGGATTTTACTACTGCACTATTTATGCAGCGCTGGTGTTCGGTTTGCGCCGAATGATGAGGGACCGTGCCGGATTTCGGCTCAAGGGCCTACTTGTTCTGTGGAATACAATGTTGGCCACTTTCAGTCTGGTGGGTTTCGCTAGAACAGCTCCGGAACTGTTCAGGGTTCTTAACAAATATGGACTGCACCATTCGGTGTGTGTGACTAGGTAAGCAACAATCTACGTTAATATGTAACATAAGCATACCAATTGTGTCGACTTTTAATTTAAGTATTTTTTATTTATGCCTAACGGTCTACTATCGTCGGCAATAATGTAGTCTTTTGCGGAAGTTGCGAGGACGGTCATATATTATTATTTCTAGAGAGATTCTATTTGGTACACTATGTATATACATATAAGTATAGTTATAAAAATGAGTTGTATTAAATACTATTGATTTACATCTCTCTATTTATTAACTGGCTCAATAGTAAAAACAATTAGTATCTCATTTTAATTAGCTACTTACCAGAGATAGGAGTGTAATAAAAATGATCGTATTTAAGTAGAAATTATAAATTGCATACGATCTACATTACGTACATTCTAAGTGAAGTGCATAATACATTATAGCATATCTCTAATCAAAATTTAATACATCTAGATACAATGATAAATCAAAATAGCATGGCATAAGCTTTGTTCGTTCTGAAAAAAAAGTGTACACTAATTAGTGTAGTGTACCTACACTATTTCAAAACGAACGCATTGGTGTACACTTTTAGTCAATACGAACAAACCTATTGTATACACTTTTTTTAAGCTTTTATACTTGATAAAATATCATTTTAATATGTATTTTTTATGTATCTTGGTATCTTAACATTTCTTAACAAAATGCAGCATTCATTTAAAAAAAAAAATTAAGAAACGGTAGTGGTCGGTTAGGTTAGGTTAGTCACACGTTAACGTTAACGTTATTAGTTCAACATAAATAATTCATTATTCTTATGAATTATAGTAACCTGCTTATAAAAATATATTACCAAAAAGAAGTAGGTATTATGAATATTCAACTAATTTAATATAACTAAATAATTATCTACTCTCTAGTCATGAAAAAAAAAACAGTTTTTTTAATTTTTTATTATCATATTTATGTAAAATAACAGAATTTAATGTGGCGAGTCAGAATAACAAGTGAATATGTGTTTATTCTGCTGCTAACCCATAAGAACTAAAATTTGGGCTTGAAAGCAACAAAAAATTGCTTATAAGCCAAAACTGGTAAATATGTAGAACTTAACTGTGATCTATTGATTGATCCCTCCTGGCAAAAATGCATCATTGCAAAAAAAAAAAAAAATGAAGGCAAAAAAAAATGTTTTTAATTTCTATTTTGTTTCTTGATCAGAAAATGTTGTTACTATAATTATGTTTAACATAGAAAGTTTAATTTTAAAAGTGATTGTAAAAATTAATATACATTTGTGATAATATTAATTTAGTCTATGATTATCGTAATTGTTTTGTAACTAATTTAGATAGGTTTAAATAATATATACCTATAGTTATTAAATTATAATTACAAAATGTAAGTGAATGTGACTTTAAAACGGGTTTACTTTTACATTTTATAAAATTTGGTCCAATATTAGGAATTAATCACAATATTTTTTGGTTCTGACATCCTACGCTAATTTGGGTTTAAGATAATGTTATACCTTAGTATGAAAGTAAAATACAATTAGATTAATATAAGTAATAATATTCGCTGATGTTTATTATGAAACCCAAATTACACGAATGACAAGTTGTGCCGGTGTAGCACTCGCGTATGGTAGACAATTCCCACCATATGTATTTATATAAACTGCTGATACGTAACAGATAATATGAGTTATTTTATGTGAATTGTATAATATTTAATCTATTTTTTAATCGGAAATAGTTAGTTTTTACCAAACATTAGTTTAAAAAAATGTTATTTAAATAGTGTGTTCACATTATGTTTGCTTATCACGTAATATCTGTTGTAATTTTTATTTCTATTGATATTAAAAATATAAGTTAAAATGCCAAAAGATATAAAATCTTTAATTAATCATTTAAATTCATTTGTAATATTTAAATTTTAGTTAAAAGATAAACTTTTTTTATTTTTATTATTATTATAAAAAAAGTACCAGGAGACTTAAGCGTTGCTTGGTTACAAAAAAAACCTACCGATAAATAGCACTGTGTATTCATACGAAGTTGCCGAAAGAAAGCCACTTATATTTAGCCCTTAACCAAATTTTTGTAAAAAAGTGACCAATGGATTCCTTGTGCCCAAAAATATCCATAGCTGTAATATTTAAAGATAAAAGTACAAACATACACATGTTTTGTATGTAAATTACATTATTTTATGTATTTTTATTTTGAAAAGAATATTTAAATTCATTTTTTAGGCATTTTTATAATGTTTTGTATAACATTTTTCACAAACATTCTTTTTAACCCCCTCCCAAACTAATTTTTTTTATGTCAACTTTTGATGAATAATATACTAAAATTGTTGATGGTTGATAACCAGTTTTAGATAATTATTTTAATCAGGAGGAAAGGCGGTGTGTATAGTTATTTTTGTCTGTGCGCATTACTCAACCACATTTCCCTTCTCTTCCTAACTATTAACCTTTAATAACTTTAAAAGTAGTTGTCCAAAACTGGTTATTTACCAGTCAACCTTTTTAGTAAAATATTCTTATTTTAAAAATGAGTGAAATATTTACGTTACGTTTACATTTCAAAAGTTGATATAAAAATAATTAGTATAGTAGGGATTTAAAAATATAAAAGTCTGTGAGAAATTGAAACAACTTTGTAAAATGCTACTTTAACCCTATAATATTGAGTAGATCACTTTAAAAAAATCAACCTGTATATAATTTATATAAATTAACATAACTTACATAATTAGCAATAAACTTACAATGCATTTTTAATTATTTCTCCCAATTATAAAATAACAACTAAAAAAACATCATAAAATCTTTACATTTATATGAATAGCAAGAAAACCATTAAACTGTTTCAATATCACTATATAACGTAGTTAATATGTATAATTATTTTTGATGGTGCCCAATCATTTTTTTAGAAAGTAACATCTTTATATCTGTGCCACAATAATTACATCAAATCCAAATAGTATGTTTCTATACACTTGTTACCTATTACAATTTTAATGGGATCTGTTGTTTGTGTTTATGCAATTTTATCAATATTTATAGGAGTCGTTTTTACAGAACAATTATTTTATGTCTACTTCATAGATTCATAGCCAATCAGTGGTAACCAGGAAACGAGTTAGACACAAAGAGTCCAAGTGTCTGATAAATGGTAATTGCACAAAAAAAAAAAAAAAATGAATAAATAAATAACTGTATCGTCGGTTTGGCTTTGTAATCTATATAGGTGATTCGAATATTGCATTTAAATAATTACTTGTCGTATGTACTTTCAAATATAATAGCTCGTTTCAAGGTCAACGTGAGTCAACCCATTGTGTCGGACGTTTGAACGCACAAAATTTTACTGATGACAGCATAATATTCTTAATGCAAATTCATAGAAATCGATGAACGTATTCTCGAGCATGTAGCGACGACATTATAGTGTACATCAACTATGCTCTAAATTTGAAGACGATAAAATTCGTTACAAAAACAAAAACGTGTGTTTTAGATGCAAGAAAACGAAGTAGTAAAATAAAATCATTCAACAACAGTAACCGTTGATAAAAGATAGGCATTTATATTCGAATTCAATTTCCCAGGGTGTAAATTAATTAAAATTTTTTTAACTATGAGAATCAGACTGTAGATAGTGATAATATTTTGACCTAGTTGTCATTCAATGATAACGAAAAGAGGGGTGTAATGCAACTTCGGCGTAAGCCTACTTATTTTTATCTCGTCGAAATAGGTCTTAGCCATAATTGACCGGAATGTTTGACATTAACAATTAACACAAATCGATATCGATATGGCGCTTCATATCGTAATCAAGCACTTATTCTTCATTTCAACTATTATTTATTGGCTAAGCGGTTCTAAATCAATTTGAAAACATTGTTTTACTGTATAATCCTTACGCAATTGTTGTGTTTAATGTAAGTTTCATCCCGGAGATATAATATAATAAGTAATCATATTTATTTTGGTCGAAGATGGTGGACTAATCGGTTGACCTTACTACAAACTCGTCGGCTAGGGCAAGACGATGGAAGAACGTCGTCAATGATTAATTATTATTATCAAATCTAACACTTATGTTCCCGTTGACACAGGCCGTTTTTTTTATCATTTTTTAAGTAGTCGACGTCGAGTAGGTTTATATTGGAAACACAATACAACCGAGATCATAATATCAAATAAGATCAAATAGTATTAATGGTATATCTTAACCTTTAGCGACTGTTGCGTTTTCAAATTATCAGGGTTCATTACCACTGCCAACACGAGGTTTTTTTTTTACTTTCCAAATTTGTGTTTTTTCATTCATAAGATTTTAATGTCAAAATAAAACACAAACGTCTCGTATAAATTGAAATGTGACTTAAAACACATTTTTTTATGTTCTTAATGCGCATTTGGGACGAAAGATGTTTTAGATAATAGCCGCTAATATTATGTGTGAATATTTTCAAATGCATTATGGTTTGGGTGAATGAACTGTGCAAGTATATCGTGAAGTATGTTTTCGCATTAATATTTTATAACAATTTAATAAATAAAATATGACATACATTCAGTGTCCGTGGGGCAGCTCTCAAATAAATTAAATATAAATATCTAGAAAAACCTAACAAGTTTAGCTTCAGTTGTGTCGACTAACGGCCTTATCTATGTTAAAATAAATGTGTTTGTTATTTAAGGCTAAAGTTGCTTACAAAGAATATACGTTGACTTAATTTCATTAGAGTAACTATATAGTACATATTATACAGTATATATTATTTCGGTTTGTATTATACTTTGTGTATATTAAATTTTTATTTATATTTTATAAATATTTAAAATGATTCTCATAGATTAAAATATAAAAACAAGTATCTCAATCAGTATTCAATTATTTATTCTTGTATGAAATTAGTTATTCGTATAGTTTTTAATTAACCTAATTTTCAAATGAGACAATAGTAGGACCTACTATATAAAAGTACTTTGTTCTAATTCTTATTAATAGTATATGTTAATAGAGTTATCTTTGTATTATAATTAAAAATTTTTTTTTTTGAGTTGTCTGACTTAATAATTTAATATCAATTTTTCCGTTGTCATTTGTTGTATTATTCAAATAAAATTGTACACAATTTAAATTTGCCTGTTGAAAAAATTCCGCACTTCGTACGCTTTGGACAGGTCAATATGGTATACCCATTAGTCATTAATAATAAGTTATTATAAATATTATTTTTGAAGTAAACATTTAAACTCGTAGACTAAGGAGTGTTGCATTACATTCCGTTAGTAAAAAACCTAAATTCGAAAACAATTACCAAAGCACGTGTGCGCATGCTGCGACGCTGTTTTTTAATTTCAGAACAGAATTTAAAGTTGTTCTGCATTTTGTTAAAATTATATAATATATTTATTTATTTTTCAAATATTTACTCCGTGTCGTAGCAAAATTTCAATCTATTTAGGATAGATATATCCTCACTCTACAGTAAAAACTGAGCTATCTTTCAGTGTTATGTATGTCTGCGGGTATTAATAAAATATGTTATATTTCTAAGCCAAGGAATTGAATTTTTCAAAGTGCCCGCTGTAGACGAGTTTGTGTGACCTATTCAAGGTTGGCCTGCTGACAGCTGTTTTTTGTTGGCAAATAATACCAATATTGGCGGTGTTAGTCACGGGCCGAAGAACTTCCTATACATTAGTGGTAGACGATGCGAGAGATATGCAATTGATGAATGATTGTTGTTGGTGGAGAATATTTTTTAAAAATTCGATGCTGAAATCCTTTGCGCGGTTTGTATAGTTTTGATTATAGTGCTGCACGCCGGTGATAACCAAGCGACCACAATTTCTTAGAGTGACTGAGAAAAATAAATAAAGATGGTATCATTACAACCACAAAAAAACATAATCGGTGGTTTTTTTTCTAATCAGTAATTCCAGTTTTTTCCTTTTTGAATCAGAGTGGCAGTATGATATTATGTTCATCCAGCAGTTTCTTGAATGCTCGGCGTACTGCCCTTGTCTTCTATCCTTAAATCCTTATTTTTGATTAGAACACAAGTTGCCACTAGTTGTCGAGTTGACAAATAATAAATATACCGGAGTTATTCGATAATACAAAACTGGTAATGATTTTCCAAAAGTAGAACCGCTCAGTAATCAGCATTGACGTATAGTTTATAGTTACACGTGCATTTTTTTGGTTTCAAGTGTTGTTAACCTTAAAATTAAAAAATAACTTTTATATTTATTTTTTATATGTATTGTTGTACCACCAGTAAACGTGTACACATCAGCAGTCACGAATGTTATATCTTATGACTTCCTGTATTACAGGAAAATGTTGACCAACTTTTTTTTTTTTGCTGTTTGATTGCTCGACTGTTTGCTTTTTGTTTTGTGTAGTCGAATTACATCTGTTGGTAAAATATCGTCGGGTCGAATCACTAGGAAAATCCTCCCCTCTACGTTTCCCTTAATTGACGTCACCGCCTTGAGTTTTCGATAGGTGTATTTTCATAATAATTAAGAGAATTAAAAACAAAATTTATTCGGCCCAAGGAATTACTTAATATGGGTAATAGACTTTTGTAATTAATTTGAACCGTGTGGTGTTTGATTACACGACGTGGTGGAGTGTGTAGAAAAATTTAGTCGGAACAATAAATAATAATAAATGAAAACTACTTGGGTAATAACCTTGTGTTAATGCCTGTGTTCTTATCAACTATTAGGAACACCGTCGATTGCCGCATTTATCGATGTTCCAATATTCGATAACTCCTCAACACGGTAATGACCTCTGACGCATCCATAGGAAACAACACTTAATACCATTAATATTGTTTTAATTTTTATATTGAATCTGTCCGTATTCCCATCGCTAAGATGTCTTTCTAGCAGGACATATTTGTACAAGTCATTTTCCCTATTTCCATGTCAAATACTTAATGACCGCCGGTTTTCTATTGGTATATTAAGACATTATCTACGTTTGGGGGCCAAAGTGTGGTCACTTACCACCAGTCATCATCAATACTTAAAAGTGAAGGGCGGCCATGCACATAACTCAAATGCGTAAAAATACATTTAACATTAATTTATTTTTAGAATTAAACCAAGTAATCAATAAGGTTATCTGAACTCCTTCCCAACGATCCCTTTTTGGCCAAGTAACTAGTATGAGGTATACTTTTTTTTAAATAGTATTACATACACAGTTGTAATCAGCATACTATCGAATTGTATATTATTTTAGAATAATTATAATCATATATGGTATTTTGCACACTATGATTCATCATATCATAGATTAGATAACGGATTGTAGCCATTGTGTGTATTGCTAAAAAAAAATAACCATCAATTAATTTTAAGTTTATTACTCATTTATTATTTATATATTCATAACTTGATCTGATAGAGCTTTATGATTATGATCTAACAAACTCATGTTTCAACGATCTTATCATTAGTTTTGTTTTCAGTAGGATAGAGTGGGTTTTGAAACAAAACTACTCTACCACTCCATTCCTTGCCCTCCATTTAGTTAAAACCTAAACTTATCTCAATTTCTTCAGATATTTGACTCGTTGGCTTTTGGAACTTAGACGACTCGAAATAATTTAAAAAACATTGATATATTGAATTGTTTTTAATTACCATATTTAAATTGATTTTTTAAATTTAACTTAAGTTTTTCTTTTTAAATATCATAATTAAAACCGTGTAGGTAAATGTTAACATCTTCTCGTAGGCCTCTATATTTTATGTTACTGATCGTCGGCTGTATTTATAGTAATAATATATTTAATCGTGATATACTAATATTGTAAGTACTGACATGTAATTAATAAAGATAAAATATAGGTACCAAAAAATAAATGCACACGCAACGATAACGGTACCGAACATTGTTGATGACTACCTCTCTGTTTGATTATGGTATAACCCAATTTTTGTAGTGTACTGTTTGTATTAATTGTTAAATTTTTACTGCACTTCAGAAATATTATTGTCGATTGACTATTTTCTATCGGGTTTAATTGAGTATATTTTATTTTGTATAATTATTACTTAGAAAGTAATATTATTTTAAAAAGTAGTACAATTTATAAGGATATAGAATATTCACCTAAAATCATATTAACAGAGTTAATTCATACGCAGGTAAACAATATTAGCGCCAATGTTTCCGAAACGGTTTCTTAGGCGTGGACAGGACTTTTAAGACTAAAAAGGAACTTTTTTTTATGAATATCAATTCGCAATAGTAATCTGGCCTAGTAGAGAATAATTTTCTTGATATTTAGAATATTTTATTATCTAATTATCTAATAATAACTGTAAAGGGGAAAAGTCCACAATTAAAATTATTAATATAGATGTTTATGTTAAACAAATGAGCAAAGATCAAATGCTACAAGTATATATTACATTATCTTAATTAATAACGTGGATAACAAGCGAAATTAAGTTTACAGATTATATTGTGCTATCATGTTTTTATTAGCATAGCGATAAGTAAACTTTTCACCTTTTATCCGGTTGTCTTTAATTATATTTTATTGCTGAACCTTGAGTCATTGACCTATTTATAGATTGTGTTTACTTTCCCTGTCTTAAAAAAATAGCTCAACAACATTTGATAATACTAAGGGGGATAATACCATGACTAAATAAACAGGCTTGATCGTTCGATAGTACTGCGCAGTAAAATTATTCCCTATACTTGGAAAAAGAAGTATTACCGTGCTAATTTATCATTGTAACATCTTTCATGACTAGAGCAAATGTGCAAAGAATCTTTGTTTATTAAGTCATGTAGAGAATGTTTAAGACTAAACTAACAGTTTCTACTTGTATTCTTATGATATTTTTTTTATTGATTGCCATACCGACTGAAATTTAATGTAGAAAATTACAAATCGTGCCTTGGATAATTAAATAGAATATGGATGGGTGTCTAGTGTCCAACGAGGATGTACCCGCTGTTATATAAATATATTGTTTTTAAATTATTTAAACCTCTTGCAAACCCCTATAAATACAGTAAGAAAGTATTTAAATATTTTGTGGCCTCGCCAGCTTAGCTTAAAAGTTCATTACAGTTTGGCAATACAGTAATATATATTGATTAAATAAGTTATAGCTGCTTTGTGGTTATTTTAGCCTTTTAGCCTTACGAAATTTCAATTACTTGGATGGTCGATTTCAATTCAGTAAAAAGGCACTAACTAGTTCGTTGTCCTCTGTACTATATTTTGTTAATTAATAATTGTATTATTTCTCGCTCCTACTACAACATCGATTTTATGTTAAATAGAACTAGTTAGCCAATTTTTTCAGTACGTGATTTGCACCTAAGTAGTTAAAATCGTGTAAGTGTTTTTCGGTATTAAACGCCAAAACCAGACTTCATCCAACCCCGATGAGTTTTAACAAATTATCGAGCCACGTGTAACTTAACGCAGCTGATTAGTCGTTAAGTCGATGGATGTTCGAACACTGCTAATTTGTTGTTTGTTTTTCTTTTTGTTGTACAGCTACGTGGAAGACGACCCCGTGTCCGGCTTCTGGTCGTGGCTGTTCGTGTTGTCCAAGTTGCCCGAGTTGGGCGACACCATCTTCATCGTGCTCCGGAAACAGCCGCTGATCTTCTTGCATTGGTACCATCACATCACCGTTCTGATGTACACGTGGTTCTCGTACATGGAGTTCACGTCGTCCGCCCGCTGGTTCATCGTCATGAACTACTCCGTCCACTCGATGATGTACACGTATTATGCGGCCAGAGCGATGGGCTACCGGCCGCCAACTTGGATATCCATGACCATCACTGGCAGCCAGCTGTTGCAGATGTTCGTCGGCTGCTTCATCAACTACACCACGTACGGGTACCTGAAGACCGGCGGCCCGCAGTCTTGCAGGGTGTCCAAACTCAACATCACGCTGTCCTCCGCCATGTACTTCAGCTATCTAGTCTTGTTCGCTAGGTTCTTTTACAATGCGTACATCAATAAGAGCAGCGCGAAAAAATCAAAGAAACATTGACCGCCTGTATTCAACTGTCGACCGACCACCGCCGCCGCCGCCGCCAACACCATTGATGCGATTTTCAAAAATAAAAAAACAAAATCAATGTAATAACAACAATAATAAAGCGTACTGATGATAGTAGAATATCATAAAAAAAATAAATGTATCTTATTCTTTTGAAGGATAAAACTCGCGCAGGTATTGCAAAAAGTCACAATACGTTTTTTTTTATTATATATATATTTTGCGTGTTACTTAGGAAAACCCGTTAGGCTGTATTTTTTTTTTATATATACTTTGTATATTGCTTCTACATTAAAGTCTAAAAAGTCGATATTTGTATTTCATTTTATTATAATTATAATTTATTTAATGCGCAGAGATCAGAGAGAGTTGGTGTATCTCTTAGGAAAAGAACCTCATTTTAAGTCTTACACGATTTACATATATATTTTTTTTTTTGGTTTGTTACAATTTTAATTTTGTACAATAAAATTGACTGTGCTTTTTACCGTTTATTACGGCAACACCCTAAATTACATTATTATTATCAATATTGTTGTTAATAATAGTTATTTGGGATTGTAAAAATTCGATTATTCCACTAATAATTCTGTTGTAAAATTTCATAAATAAACGCTACGCCACCGACACGTTAAGTCATACGTTTTAATAGATTAGTTTATTATTTCCAAATTCCTATACTTCTCAGTTGTCGGCGTTATGAGGTTCGACCAATCATGTTAAGCGTTGGCCGCTGTAAAGAAGTCTGTCGTTTATAATACTTAGTTATCATTATTATCGTTGACAATTTTTATGTAGAATATACCTACAAACTGATTGAACGATGCGTCGATTTATGATTTCGTTATTTAGAAAACCGGCAAATCATTACCCTTTTTTATACTCGTTATGATAATGGAACGAGTTTCAAGCTCATATTTAACGAGTGGCATTGAAAAAAAAAATGTAGTTCCACACGATATCACAATAATGGTCATAATAATTATTGCTGCAAGATCAATTTGCAAAATTAAATAAATTTAATAAAATGCTATTAACCGTGTTTGTTTAGCCGAACAATGCTGTTGCACCTATATGAATCGCCAACGACTTGGTAGCAGTAATAGTACTTATATATCTTTATATATATATACACATAGTATTCAATAAGTAATAACAAAACAATCCAACGCCCTGTATGTCTTAAATGGTAGGTATATAAATGATTAGGCGATTGATGTGTGTTGTGTGCAGGCCCAGATTTAGGTATGAGGTAGCTTCGGGACGGAATATAAGTAAAAATACTCTTTTTTAATAATTGACATTGAAAAATCAGAAAATGTTGGGCGTTATAAAGTGAATGCAACACTTCTGTTAATGATCCGCTTATGCATTTTACCCGTCAATATATAATGTTATAGGCAAAGTCAAAAGGTAAAATATTGCTGGGATTAAAAACCATTTTTTGTTTAGGTCTATAGTAATACTTTTTTTACATTTTTCGCAGGCATTTCAACCTTCCACAATATCATCGTGCTTCGACCGGTAATTTAATAACTAATATTCCGTTGTCGGTCACTTATTCTAGTTTAACGGCTTTTCTTAAAAATATTGTTTTCTTTTTAGCAGAAAATGGTCTCTATTTTTATATATATATATATATGCTGGGACGTTCTCACTTTCATACACACATATACTGTCGGATACTACATAATATACTGTTTCATATAATATACCTATATTGTCGGATCTGGTTATTCTTGAAAACGACTATTGCACGCATAACCTGTAGGCTGTTTTATCCGCGTGACGCACGTGCCGGAAATACCGGTCGTGTTTTTTCCTTCCTTTAATCTTAAAAACCTGGAGTTAATTTTAGCATTAAAGTTAATGAAGTTCAAAACAAGTAGTGTTATGGTCAACGTTTAGATAAAAACATTCAGTAATGCGAAACTGCCTAGTTGAAGCGACCTTAAGTTTCAGGAATTTTATAAAACAAGAAAAAATCTGAAATATCCTAACCTCCCCTCTCCCCCCCCCCCGTTTGCGGATCTTAGACAAAGTAATCCGGTTTGGTGTCCAGACGTTTTGCGTGCGAGTCCTTGCCCGGCTGAGAGAAATTGTTTTACTTGTTTGCATTAATAGTATAGGTATAGTATATAAAGAGCAGTCCTCTGTCTCTGCTTTCACCCATCCGAGGCTGTTAAAATTGTGTTTGTGCAATCCTCTCGCACACTCTGGTCGGTAACGATGGTTATTATTGGTATCTTATCCGATGAAAGTCGATTTATCATTTACTCTGAACAAGTAGACTGATTCAAACCGTGTAGCTACAATATTTGTATTTTGCAAATATATTTGGGAAAAAAAAAATTAATCATAGGCGTGATAATTACTAGTTGGGGAGTTATTCGGCTATAATATTCGGCTTCTTAACATCTTTTCCTCGCAAATCGCAGCCCGTGGGTCATGGCCTGTATGTTAAGTTGATTACAGAGTGTTGTTTATTATAGTTACCTAGGTACTAAAATACAGTTTTGAAGGAAAACAAACGTCAATGTTAATGTATGCAGATAGCATTAGATAAGTCTAAACACGGAAACTGGTACACGGTGTGCAACTCAAGTTCAACCGTAGATGTAATTAAAAATGTAAGCTATAAATATGACATATATACATATATATAATTGTACTTAACCTACGTTGTTGACCAGACAAATAACAGGTTCACTGGCTGATTCCTACGATATGCGTTTCTGCCTTGCAGTAAACGTGTTTGGGTTGAGATTTTTGTTGAGGCAATGAAGCGGTGTTCATGATGTATATATTATGTATACAACACTTATTATTAAGTCTGTTATATCATAAATACCTACACGTGTTATTCATATACCTTGTTTTGAGCCGTCGTACTCGTTCTCGAAAATATTTTGTTAAGGGCACTCTTGATCTACATAATTTCAAACTTTCAAACGTCATTCGTTATATTGTTATTCCAACATTCCAACAGTTACGGTTAAACAATAATCGAATAAATTACTGTGCGCTATCGTAAAAAAGATTTCATATAACGCAAAAAAATCAATGTCAAATGTTTTTAGAATTACCGGATGATGAAAGATAATATTTTTATTTTTTTAATTCTGGTACAATAAGGCAAATTGCAGATGAGTATACAGGGTGTATCACGATGACCTGACAGATCGATATAGTTTTTATATGAAATTTTGTTAGACCATATTACAATATCTTTTTAGTTCACATAATTTTTTGGTCAATATTCTCTCACAAAAATGTTGGGCTATTTGTGCATACGATAATAAATTAAGTATCATTGCAGAGTCTATTTTCGGAGGTAGTTGCAACTTGCAAGTATTGCATTAGTAATTAAAAAATACGTAAAAGAGTTCAAGCGTTTAAATAGTTTAACTGCAGTAGTCAACGGTTCAACTGAAAAGTCAACGTTAATAATGTGAATAAATAAAATTGTACTCGTCAATGTATCTCAAAAAGTAAGTATATAATAATAAAAATATGATTTAATGCGTGAAAAGTCATTCAAGGAAGTAATATTTCTCAAGGTTTGATTTGAGTATAGACCTAAATGTTTACAGAAATGAAAACAACGAAAAATAGTTAAAGAACATAATTGTAGGGCTAGGTATATCATAGCAGCAATCAGTGTCTAAGGACATCGGTGATGTCGGTTTGTTCAGGTAGCATCGACACTAAATTTTAAGTAACTTACATTATTTGCAAAGTATTTACAACATCGTTAAAACAGAAACAGCTAATGTATTGTTTACGTGTATATTAGTTTACTATGCGCAAATAAGTCAAAACTTAACACCAAAATATTAGGACTTTTATAAGCTCTAAGAAGTACTCATTATCTGTAGTGACTTAATTAGTCGGGCGAAACATAATAATATGGTCAAGACAAATGAGGAAGTAAGTCATAACACGATTTTAGAACAAGAACAAAAATGAACTAGTTTTTATTGTTGAATCCGAATAGAATCTTGGATTTTTTATAACAAGTCTAGATTTTTTTTTAAATCGCCTCCAAAGTTGCAAAAAGTAGTGTTTTGTGGTGTTCAGCGTGTGCTGAACACGTGAAAACATTTTTTTTAAATCTGGGTCTTTATTCTATTTTTTATTATACTGAATTCAGAATCGGTTTCAGAATTATTGTATTTTAATAATATTACACAGATAGGTACTTTTGGGTTATCGCAACTACCAGATTATGCTAGTTTGTACTTGATTGATTACATTGTACTACAAAATTCAGTATAATAAATTAGTATATAAATTCAGTGTGTGTAATATATTATATTACACACACAAGTTTTAGAATTTTTTTAGCCGAATTTAAATCTGACCCCTGATTTGATTTTTGATTTTGATCTAGAACGCCAAATTAAATCGCCTCTAAAGTCATTCACAATCGGATTTAGCGAAAACAATTATTTATATATATATTGGTTCTTGTCTCAAAACAGGGGACTTACATGAACGGAAACCATACAAAACAGGTTACATGAATTTTCAGTGTATTTGGCTTAGAATAGTAATAATTAAAAGTGAAAATTTCAAACCGAATTGCATATAAACGCCACTTGATAATTAGAAAAGCCGGAAGAAATTCTTAAGTGGGTTTCCCAAAGATTCTTGATGGTCTAAACAAGTGCAGATACAGTTTTCCTGTTTGGCCGGCTGTGTATAACATAACGACTTGTATTCCTGTGCAAACCTTGTACCCGTGTGACCTTGTCGGAAACATTGCACGCTACACATATATGTTGATTTTTAGATTAAAAATTACAGGTTTTTTAACTATAGTAAAAAAAATTACTACATAGAGTATACGGTCTAGCACATCTGCTATTTATTTTTCACAATTAACTCAGAAACTTAAACGGCACATAACAGCCAATGTGAAATGTAAGTATTTATGTGAATGAAGGCATTCCAAGTTGGCATATTATTATTTTCAATTTGATTTAATGTAACACTATAGCTAATAGCGGGTAACCCATTCGGTATATATTCGCTATTTTATATACACATAGACATAATATTATATTGCATTACAATTGGCAAAGACATGTACTAAAAACAACACTTTATGTGGTAATTTAGTGTCCTTTGACCTCTGAAATTTTGCCGTGTAACGACACTGTGTTTCATTCAACGAGGAAGCGAGTTATTTATTGTTTTTGTATTCTATTATAATACTATTGTGACGTTTTTGAATTCTTAATCGGAATGTTTAGCCACTAAACAATACACCTCGTGTAAAATTGATAAAACATTGCATTATCTTATTAAAATATGAACCACTCAAGAGCAGGTAATGTGCATTTAGGAATTAATTAAGTACCTAACTACATTTTATATTCCTAAGTCGAATCATACGAATTACTTCTTCAGTTCTACCACTTGTAATGATGCTGGGTTTTTTTGTTGATAAAATCACAATAAAAGATAATTATTAGTATTAAAAGATCTGTATTCTACAGTATTTAATGCTATAATTATTATAGTATAGAATTAACATTAGTATCTAGTGTATTTCGGGCTGAAATCTGAATCCTATAGATTATTTTATGTTTTATTAAAATAATAAGTTTAAGTAAGTAATAACTATATCCAGCTAAAATAACTAAGTTAAAATATCGTCTGAAACATCAACTAAAATATAAAACCTTCATTTTAGAAAAAAAAACATTAATTATTTAATTAAAACCAATGAGATAACTCCACCTATTATACTTTAATATAATAGTTTATTTATCATCAAATAATAATACAATTATTATTATATACATAAACTAACCTGCTAAGCAAAACTGCCGTAACTAAAAAAAAATTTAAATAAAGTTGGACCACTAACATATAGTTGAAAAAAAAAAATATTAGCAATAACAAAAGCATAGGATCTAGGAATATTAATTTACACACAGGTACATGAAAAGGTTTCGCTTATGGTTTTTAAATATTTAATATTGAGTAATTTTAAAAACGTACAATTTTAGTTACATAATACTATGCTTATCAAAAATTAATTAAGAGTCAAATAACTAGCTAACTTATCACTTCTGTACCCAAAAAGTAATAATAATTCGAGGTATTTCATATACTTATCTTCTTTTAATTAACTTTTTTATTATAATTTTAATTAACTATATATTATTAAATATATTTATGATTCGGTCAAGAATAAGTTGTGAAATCAGTATTTGGTTTGTCTGTACCTCCATTACTTCGTCATAATACCATAAAACTGTTGCACTTAAATACTTGAATTCGAATTATTAAGAAACATAACACATTTTCTATAATTATAGTAACTCTTAAAAAAATTAATGTAAAATTGCATTCCACAAAAATATTAATACATATTAGAAGCAAAATTCTTAGCCATTTAACTATTATTTGTATTAAAATGATTGTTGGTTTGTCTTAGTGAAATTATACAGTAGGACAACTGAAATACTTAATTACACGAGCAACGACTTTTACGACTGTGTTTGCCATATTTTTAAATCCTAGGTAAATTAACAATAGCAATTATTTAAGTTATCACAAAACGATTGCTATTTGCTTCAGTCTACAAGCAGCAACGGAACGAATAACCAGCACGCAACTTACTCCTGAAGATGGAAGATAAAAGGCTTCCGAATCGTTGGCAAAGCCAATTAATAAAATATAGGTGTAACCCAAGTCTAAAAAACATGTAAGTATAATAGCACAATTTCAACAAAGTAACTATTATACAATTTATTACCCACGTTATGTTTACATATAAGAAATAACAAAATGTATTGTTCAATTGAGTAGGTTTCGGATACATCCACGTCATATGTTTTATGCCGACGTTTCGGACTCTTTGCAGAGTACAATTCTAATTTAATCCACGAACGTTTTAATGCATTCAAAATGTATTATTCTTTATAAATTTATTACCCTCGTTATATATACATATACGAAATAACAAAATGTATTGTTCTTTATAAATTAAAACAATAACGAATAATTTTTAGTTATTAGAATTCTACAACGTGCATTTTGAAATATATTATCTAATTTAAAAAAAAAAAACGAAACCGGTAAAAAAATAGCAATTTAATAGTAAATTAACATAAACTGGGTCAATTTCCATCGCATTATATCGTAGGTACTCGTAGGTATGATTCTACACCGTATATTAAAAAAAATGATACTGCAATTGTACCTAATGTCGTTATGTGACAACTTAAATTATTGGTATTGTTAATTTACCTATGGTTTAAAACTATGGCAAACGCTCTGTCGTTAATTAAAATATGAAAAAATTAAGTATTTTAGTCGTCCTATTGTATAATTTCACCAAGACAACCAACAATCATTTTAATACAATTAATACGTAAGTGGCTGAGAATTTTGCTATTTATAACCTACTGAATCTTCATGATAACATTTAATAATAATTATTAAAAGTTAATTAAAAAAAGATTAGTATACAAAAAAACCACAAGTAATTATTATTTTTTGGATGTAGAAGTGATAAGTTATTGGCTCTTAATTACTTTTTGATTTGTGTAGTTTTGTGTATATAAAATTGAACGTTTTTAAAATTACCCAATATAAAATATTTAAAAACCATAAGCAAAACCGTTTCTTGAGCCTATTTCTAAATGAATATCTCTGGAGCCTATAGTTTTGTTAATTTTAATATTTCCTTTCATCTATATTTTGTTAGTGGTCCTATTTTTCTCAAATATCTATAATATTTTTTTGGCTATGGTACCAATAAAGCTTCTATATACCACAAACTTCTTTGGAGGGTTTGATATTAATGACGATTTCTATTTTCTTTGATATTGGTGTGTCTCTTTGTCTCCAAAATGAAACCTTTAGCGAAAGAGTTAAGAGTTAACAATGCTGCCTGCCGAAAGAGCCGTTATTTTATTTGTGAAGTGCAGTTAAGTAATTATTATGAACACACGATAATGATCAAAGTCAGTAATATGTTGTCCAGATTGTTTCCGACTTCCGGCAAGTTTACACCAATGCCAAAAAGAAACTACCATGAAAAATGTGTAAAGCAGATGAGTTTAGTAACGACATATCTTTTTAAATGTAATCCATAAAATCCATTTTATAATCTCGTTTTCCTGTAATCTAATAAAAAAATTCGGATTAATCTGGATTCTCATTGTATCTGCTCGGCAATGAAACCAAACTTATAATATTTAGTGCATTGATTTACTAAATGTTTAAAGACTCCACTGAATCGTCATAATTAGTTCACGTTCAAATGCTAAATTATTATGGAATCTATTGTCAAGAGAACAAATGACCATGGTATATATGTATTTAATTAGAATGAATAATATTATATCACTGAATAAAAATATTTAATTAGAATTAATTGTGAAAACATCATTATGGAGATTTTTAACTGTAGCTAACCAAAAATGTAAAATTAAAAAATTAATTATTTTGTTAAACACTAATGCAACGGTGCTTACACATAAAGTAGATACGGTATTCAGGTATCACAGTAAGTTCTTAGTTCTTATAGTAAATAATTAAATAAATAAACAATTCATTTAATCTTTCAAAGTATTGTATTATATTTGATCGAAAATGATGTCGTAGTTAGTAGTTAAGCAAGTGAGAAATAGAATTATTATTTATAAGTTATGACTACAAAGTAAAATGTATGGATACAAATAAACTAATGTACTAAATGATTTTTAAGGGGTAAAATTATATTTAACTATACAATTTGCAATTAAATATGTTCGTGTAATTCTTAAGGTTAAGGTGGGTTAAAAACTTTTTCTAGTTCCATAATTTATTGTAAAGGTCTTTCAAAACGTGCAATTTACAATTTTTGTATTGTTGTCTTATCAAGGAGAGTAACTACTGTATAACTTGTATTAGTCGTTTTTCTAGTATATACAATGCAGATTGTTGCGAAAAACCTGAAATTCTAGAGCTGTATGTTGTATTACGGATAAAGCGAGTGTAGTTAAACAGAAACATGTCCTATAATAAACATTTAAACTTGAGATAACATAATACGATTGAGATCTATGCATCAGGTACTTAAATTATATCATATTCTATTTCTTGAATTCTTCATTCTCTAAATATAAAATTCACAATTTGTATTTTTATTTACATCAAATATTTAAAATAAAAACATTAGGTATTTATAAACGTAAAAATTGAGTTTTTTTTATAACATCTGTAGTGTATTTAAAGTATACAAACAGTGTTTAACATACAGGACTCTATTTGAAATTCAAAAGTTACCCTTTAAAACTATCCCTTAAAATAATAATAATACCCCTTACAATTTTATTCAAACGTTTTTTTTAGCTAAAACAATTAATTCATAATAAGATAACTATATCACAAAACATGTTCATAAATTTGTTTGGATTTTTTTTAAAGTTATTAAAATTGAGTTTATAATCTAAAAATATGGTTTTTTCGTGTTGCTTAAGTTTGAGAATTTTTCTAATATTTTTATTAGAAAGCTGAGATAGTTTTATATAAAATTTGTAAATTTCAAATTTGGTTCATAAACGCTTACAAAAACAAAAAAAATTCTAAAGTTTCTTTGAAAAGTTGGAAAAACGGAAAAAACGACCAGAGTAATTTAAATATTTAAAATAATTATGCATAAAAATAAGACACTGTTCAGTTTTCTCGACTTTCAATTGGCATACAAATTAATAAATTCGTAACCTAAGAATATGCAAAACAAAGTATGAATTTAAAAGGTAAAAATAATAAAATTGAATTGTAATTTTCAGTAATGAATGAATAATATAAACACTTGGTTTAAAATTAGTATAATTTTATTTATTTAGTTATAAATACATGGTTTCCTCCAAAATATATACACATTGTAGTATATCCTAGATAAATTTAAGTTTTATATTATAGTTTAAACTACATATTATACTTTATTTTTTTAACAAAAGAAATTAATTCATAATAAATACAATACCTGTTACCTACTTCTAATTTGTTTAGATAAATAAAAAATCCGGATGTCTATATTAAAAATGCATATTTTTGAATAATTTACTGTTGGATAATCAGTTTACCAAACTAAAAACTGAATAGTGGCCAAGTTTATTTACTCTTAATTTATATAAGGGGTTGATATTATTTTTATTGTTACTCATTGTGTCTCAAAACACACCCTATAAGAAGTATCCATGGCAACGTTTATGACCACACAAAACTCTTTCGCATCCTGATTACTGCTATCGAGTTATAAATTATATCTAATATTTGTTCTTTATCATTATTGAAGTATTCTATGTATCGGCTTTTTTCGAGTTTGACTACATTGATTTATCAATAAAATGACTTCAATACCAAGGTAAGCCTAATCTATTTGATTTTTTCTAGGTTTTTATACATAAATGTTTGAAAATTATACTTTATGTTATTATAATTTGTAAAAAATTATATTATTTGTGTTGCTATTGTTTTATTGTAATGCGCTGTACCCATTTAAAGGTGTTCTTGTAAGCTGTATTTAAATAAAAAATTGTGAAAGCCATACATTTAACATTACACATGAACTTACCAACGGCTAATATATGTTATACTAAAATTATTTATTTTTTGTAATTTTAATTAGAAATCATCAGACTATACTTGATCTTGCTTTAACATTAAAAAACACTAACTTTGATATGAAACCAACTGAGAGAACTTTACTAGTATTGGGAAATAAAAATTCGGTAAGTAAAAGAAGTATTAGATAATTACATTTTTTTTCCAAGTTTTAGTAGATCATTTTATGGAAGCTTAAGCTTCTGTTTTACTCTTCTACTAAAAATGTTATTTAACTAGCATTACCTGCTATAATGCTTTTATAATTAAATACAAAAGTCCAATTTAATTTGTATAAATATCAAAAAATCAAGCTAATATTTAAAAAAGTTCATTCGCTATCTACGTTTATCATAGATAAAACACTGTTTGAAAATTGTTACCATAAATTATATAGACCTAGTGATTTGATGAAAACATTGAAACCAGATAGGAGCTTATTATTACGTTTATAGGAGGCACGTTTAGGTAAATTCTATTAAATATTGACATTTAATACATTATTTTTTCTTGAGTTAAATTTATAACTTTACTAGTTCTCTAGTGTTTTTTATACACGATAGAAGAAAACCATTAAAACGTCGATTTCAAGAAAAATTGTATGAAAAATTAAAATCTGGTTGTACATTTCTTATCGCACTACAAGGTCGATATTCCACTGATGGGAAAAAAATTGGAATGTTTATTTAGCTAAAAAAAATATCTTTTAATAATAATCAGCTATCTGTAACTATAGTTAGTATTTATTATAGGGTAATAAATGTGTTGCACATACTAAGGTCTAACATGATTTCAAAAGAGGTCCTAAGTTGGAAGCCACGAGAAAAGAGGCCCTTAGGCAGACCTAAACAACGATGGTTTGATAAAGTCTCAAAGGATCTAACAACGCTAGGAGTTGAAAACTACAGGGAGGTACAGAGATAGAGAGAGATGGAAGGAAGTGTGTGTTGCAGCAATGGGCCTGAACGGCCTCTGAAGCTGAAGAAAAAAAAAAAATAAATAAATGTGTTGCACGGAGGACACTCAGGCCTTTTCTAAGGAGTAAAGTATAGGCAATTTTTCGAAAAATCTTAATTTAGATTCTAAACTATAATGTATAGATATACTGTATAACTTATTAGTACAGTAATGAGGGTACTTTATTTATTGTCATTTATTTTGTCAAACTATCATAGTAATTTCCTAACCTAACCTAACCTTAGGATAAATTAAACAATTTTTCCCATTAAAACTGCTTTGCGTGGGACAAGTATGCGAGGCTAATATTAACAATTTTGATTACCCAAATTTAGATTTTCACAATGTACAGAGAAAAAACTTTATCTATGGAGTAGCGTTTTTTTTTTTATATCTTCACTTGATATTTTTTTATAAACAAATGAAAAAAGGAAATACAAATGATTGTTTTTTTTTTAGTTTTTAATTATTTACAAATTTTTGATGAACTGATATAGCTTATACGCTCCTTTCGGAGTCGTGTAGTTATCTACAGAGTTATATGTTTTGTTCTACATTTTAATTTTCAAGGGGCTACTACACCAGCATTTTCTAGGGCGCATTGTATAGGCAATTTGTTTACTAAAACCTAACATTTAGCTAAAATTTTCAAACGTACATAGTACCATAGTAAAGAAGAATCTATTTTGGTGTTTAAATTTTTTTTAACTTGTATAACGCATACAGGATCTATTTTTGTAGAAAAATGTATGTGTTTACTTCGAACAGGACTTACTTAAAAATCCTCCGATTTAAGTTTTGAAAACTCATTTGAATTCTTCATAACATTTTCAAACATCGGCCGTGGCACAATTTTAAAATAAGTTTTGATTAATTAATTATTTCGATGTGAAAAACTTTAATTTTTTACTTTTTTAAACTGAAATAATTAACAAAAAATAATTTTAAAATTATGCAATGATCGATGCCTTGAAAATGTTATGATAAATTCAAATATTATTTCAAAACTTATAAATTGGAGTATTCTTAGGGTCAGTACGTTTGAAGTAGAATGAGTTGTTTTTTACCAAAAATATATAGGTGTAGTGGCCCCTTAACAGAGAACCAATGAACATGTTGTACTTTTTGTAACTGATACATAGCTTACGTTTTACAAAAACTCTACAACTACTGTCTAAAATAATACTTTAAATTCGATCACTAAGAAAGATTTTTGATAATTTAATGTAATTATGACATAATTTGAAAATATTTTTGCGAAAATAATTATTTTACAACAACATTTCTATCAAGTTCTGTCATGTTGTATTATACTTACTAATAATAATAATTATCATCTTTACATTTTAGGGTAAAACAACATTAATCCACAGGTTTTTTGATAAAAGCGAAAAGCCAAAACCAACTTTGGCTTTGGAATACACATTTGCTAGAAGATCTGGGAAAAGTTTAGTAAGTTTTAAAAATATTTCATAAGGGGATTAGATACCGATAAGCCTCTATCTAATTAGATGCGATTTTGGAAATCGATAAATATATAAAATAATTATTCTTTTTTCTCCATTTTGACATGATAATTTTTTTATTTTTTTTTATTTAATCTTTATTTAACAATTTTAATAATAGACAAACTTTCTATTAAAAACAATGACTTATCGTCGGTCGATAACAGGTTTTCAGTAATTATTGTTTAAATTAAGGTTTAAAGTTTACCCGTTAATTTTGTATTCTAAAAAAAATATATAGGGAATAAAATATGGGATAGTTTGAAGAAATACTTTATATTGTCTCAAAATTAATTGTAAACTAACACTATACTGAGATTTATTTAGATCACTTATGAGAACTAATATATTAATCGGTTATAAAAAATATCGTTATATTTTAATTATTACAAATGAAAAATTGATCGCTAGTGAAGTAAAATTTAACTATAAGGAGCTAAACTTTAGAATAAGCGTTTTCGATAAAATCGTTGAAAACAATTACAAATAAAATAAATTAATCATACTCGGTAATTATTGTTAAATTATTTATTTTACAATGATTATAAATGCAATTTTTGTTTAAGGCAAAAGACATTTGCCATGTCTGGGAATTAGGTGGTGATGCTGTGTTCAAAAACTTGTTGTCCGTCATAATAGGTAAAACGGAAGGGCGGTGTTTGAGTATTGTTTTGGTGTTGGACTTGTCTAAACTTAACACCATATGGAACACATTGGATAATTTGCTTGAAGAAGTTTTCAGCCAACTTAAAAGTCTACCCAAAATTGAAAATTTCAATCAAATTGATATCCAGAATAATGATGTTAGTCACGTGAAGTTATGAAATACTTTAGTATAAATGAAGAGATGAGCTAAATTAAGTGAAATTACGAATAAAAAAAGAATAAAATAATTCGAATTATGAAAATATTATAATATTTCTAATTCGCCAATATTTAAGCACGAAATATCATTATTAGAATAAATATAAGTGAAAAAAATAAAAAGTTAACGACTTTTGGGAAAAAGGGTTTTCGATATTCGTTTGTTTTGTCAATGTATATCGATAATATTATATTAAAGAATATTTCATATAATTAAGGAATGTTTTCGATTATTTAAAAAAAAAAATATATAGCATGCTGTAAGTTAAATATTTTAGGTTTTTTCTTCGATTTTAAAGATTAAGGGGTGTACATTTTGGACATTTTTGGTCCTATATAGTAATTTTCAGGTTCAATTTCTGATCTGTAGACACAAATAAAAAATTTATAAAAACACATTATTATAAAAACAATAGTTTCTTAGCTCAGCATCGAAGCTAAAATAAAACACATCAATATCAAAACACCACCTTTACAGTTTCGAGTATAACTTAAAAATTATGTGTTGAATACTTGATATCTCTCAGTTATTATTTCCATTACACCATTAATTTATGTATTTAATTTCGCAAATCCATTACGTAGGTTGCTATAGTTTTTAGTTATAAACAATTATTTCATTGTAAAAATGATTGAAAAGTAAAATTTTTATTATTCTTCATATAAACTAAAAATAACATCAGGATTTATATTTGTGTTATGCTAATAAATTAAAAATAAAATATTTCGATAAAATAATTTACAATAAATTTATTTGTTATTTTGTCGAATTATTCGAATAATAAATTAGTTTTTCAATCAAATAATATTTAACTCTTGGTTTAAACCATGTAATACTTGTATTAACTATAATGATCATCTTTCTAGGATAAACAATACATGACACCATTACAAGTGCCTTTAATAATAGTAGGAAGTAAATATGACGTATATCAAGTAAGTTAATAATAAATTGTTATAAATGTTCTTTATTATTATGCTACATCAAACCTGAGTTTTTTTTTTTTACAAATGCCTCTTCGTGTAAACATATTTTAACTTAATTAAAATCACGTTTTTAATTTAAATATGAACTTGACAATTATTTGTCTAATGTCTGTTGTAATTAATTTATGCTATTTCGTAAAACAATTTCATTTCCATACAAAAATAATTGTGATAATGAAAACGAATTTAAATTACTATTATTTAATAATTATTTATACTTAAAATTATACTACTAAAATTTAGCAAAACGTTAAAATTTGTCTACATATATTTTTCCCACAAATCACTTGTCTAATATTGCAATTCATTTTTTAATGCTCTTGAATAAGATTATATGAATAAGGTGTAGAACATACAAAAATGTATTTAGACACATTTTGATAGTATAAAATAATATTCCGACTTACTCGTATAATTGTTAGGTGAATAATTATTCACAATACCTAGAATTTGTAAGTATAGAGGCATAATAATGAACCATTATTAATGATTTTGTTCCTTAAATTAGTTTAGTACTGACAAAAATGTACTACACATCGGGTAAAGCAAATTTTACATATTGAAAATTAATAATTAAATATTCATGACACAATGCTTAACATTTGAAAATAAATAAAATGCCAAAGTGCTCCTTGCTAAGTTGATTCGTTACAAGTATATGATGTTCTTGTGAAGTGCCCAAATGGTATGGTTCTTTTCATAATACAAAATTAAGGGGTTGAACATTAACCTTTTTTTCAGAACTATGAACCGGCCAAAAAGCGGATTGTGTGTCAATCATTACGCTATGTAGCACATACTTATGGCGCATCATTATTATTTTATAGTACTAACGAAGCCATTCTAGTAAAAAGAGCTAAAGAAGTCTTGTCACATTACGGGTTTGGAACGTCTTACTCGTAAGAAAATTTATTTTATCTTATTTTATTTCTATACACTAATCTAAATATACATCTCAGGAAGAATTATGTGCAAGATTCGAACAAACCGCTTTTTATTCCAGCCGGTACCGACTCATTTGATAGTATAGATCAATTAGATGGTAATATACATTTAAGATCAATGCAAAAGTACAAACATCTATTTACTACACATTTTAAGCAGGTAATAAAAATTTGAATTTTCAAAAAAAAAAAAAATTTGAATTTACCAATTGATTATTATAATAATTTACTATTTTGTTCATTATTTTCTGTATCTACACATATTATACTACCTACACCAATGAAACCAAACTTGATTAAATGAAAAGTAATTTTCTTCAACATATTAAGTTTCCTATACACTTTAAACTAAGGTGTATAAACATTTTTCTAATTTTTTATGCATATTTTTCCCAGTTCTTATTTTTATATATATATATATTTTTTTTAAAATTAGTTTATTGATTTAATATGTTTAATTAATTTTAAATTATTATTAAAAATATAATTTCACAACGAAAATAGTCGAATTTTAAAAATATACAACAACACATTGTATTGTAATCAAATTATAACAATAATCATATGTGAGTGGTGAAGGGTACGAAAAAAAACCCCAGAAAAGTCAATTTTATTGACGTACTGAATACTTTTTAATCATATTTTTTTTAGATTAAAAAAAGTGACTTTTCGTTATGCTCTTCATGTTACATAATCAAAGGTCAGGTCCCAAAGCTCGAGACTTAAATAAATTAAAATCGATACCTGGACAGCTCATCAAAAAAGACAATTAATCAATAAGTAATTAACCGAATGTACATTTTGTCGTAAACGTAATGGGTCAAAAAAAAATAATTTAAAATAATTAACAAGCGCGGAGTAGAAAATCTGGTCACTTATCGAACCGATTCAGTTCAGTGTTTAGAGAAATATATTATAATAAGGGCCCAAAAGTATTAATATTTGTATAATATTAAGTTCACAATTATAATACTATAGTTTTATGCTTATAGTTATAATATTGTACTCAAGAGATAAAATAATATATAACATTTTATTACATTTAGTATTGTACGAAATGTGATAAAATTACTTTTTAGCAAGGAGTTTTATACAAATTATCGCCTCGACCGTTAAATATTCAATGGGTTTTCCGCCAAGTTTACAGATTACAGCGATTTGATAAATACACTATTAAATCATCATCATGTAATTTTTTATAATACGTTCAAATATTGTATTGAACTTTATGAGATAAAATAAATATTTAAATTGTTTATTTTTGATTTTTTATTTAATATAATAATGTGATTACAGAGCTGTATAACTAAAAAAAAAAACAATTAAAAACAATATTTGAATAGAATTAAGGCACAAACCATTTGTTTTTGTGGTAATTAATATTATATATTTAGGCTCCACTGGACGCTGAACGTCATTCCGGGTCTGTTGTCGAAGATCCGTTGAATAATCCGAATTACGTGGATCCAGTTGTAGACGAAGCGTTAAAAAAGAAACAGGAGGTTTGTACACAACTTTATACACTTAATACTGGTGTAGTATTGTTATTGTAGTAATGCATAATAATTAACGGTCAAATGATAATTGTTTTAGGAGCACAAACTGTTCATGGCGAACTACAATAATTATTTGAACATGGAAAATAAATACAAAAATAATTTACAATAATAACAATTACGCACAATATAAATATTAAAATAAAAAATAATTTATGTCGTACATCTCGTAACGGCGATACACAGATTATATAACAATGGTAATAAAAAATAATAAGTTGTTGATATTTATTTCAAACATTTCACTTTGAAGATCTTTCTTCTTTTTTTTTTTTTAAAAAAACTAATTAAAATCTCGGAACTGTCGTGGCGTTTCACAGTTCCTGCCACAAGGACAAACTCATTCGTTGAGCGTTTCCCAGACGTGGCGTTTGTTTTACGTTGGACGATGGAATGCGTTATTCGAATAATTATTATTATCTCCTTATGAGCTTTTTGAAGTACAACGGCAAATTCTTGAGCGGTTTGTTGAGCAATCGAATTTTGATCACGTAATAAGCTCCTACTCTGAACACGAGTCCGAATATGGCAAGCCCGATGAACTGGACGGTTATCGATCTGTGGCTCATTCCCAAATCCCTCAGCAGCAGTTCCGGGTCCTTGTAGTGACAGTACAAGTCGTCTTTGAGACAAGACATTTCGGCGCGCCCATTGCCGTAAAGCGATGCCGATATGGCGACCAAAGCGTACCTCAGGAAACTCGTGGCCATCAGCGACTCCATGATAGGTTCGATTACCTGGCCGTATCCCATACCGTAAACGGCTAGCGCCAACATGGGCGCTAGCAGGGCCGGAGTTAATATGGCGCCGGTCTGGAAGGGTGCATGGATAATAATTAGTATTTCAATACAAACAAATATTGAATCGCAATGTCATTCTTACCGCGTTGTCGACCGAAGACCCTATTAATATGCCCAGTCCTTCCGATATGTAACCCGTAAACAGTCCTACGGCCACAAACTGACTTATTCTTATGATCTCCAGTGGTTGCGACGTCATAAAGTATACGATTCCTAAAAACAGTCCTCCGAATAGGAACTGAAAATAGTTGAAATTATTAATATATTGTACTGAGAAGGTGGCCGAAATATATCTTCTAAACGGCTATGGTTTCGACGCTACGCTAAAGAAGATTGGATTTAAAGTAGTTTTAGGAGCTAATGAGCTTAAGGGGATTGCATGCGGTCCTTTTTTTTACGTTTTATACCAAAAAGCCAGACGAAACTCAGACTACTCAGGATGGTCCGATTCTGTTAAGATATACGAGCTCTTTAGAAACTTTATTAGATTATGTAAGATATAGATTTTTTGTTTTTTTCATGAAAATAAGTTGGGTTTTGATTTAGAACAAATTGCAAATATAGCTTATTTAATTACAAGAAACTAACATTTTTAAATAAAAATTGGCCTTCTACATAACATAGTTAAGTAACCAAAGAACTCGAATCTCTTTTACTGAATTGAAATTGGACCATCCTAGGTAGTTGAAATTTTGGTTTAAAATAAACAAAAATGGCTTTTACTTATAGAAGAAATGATTTTAATTAAAAATAAATTAAATATAATAATAATTGAAGCGTATACAAATTAACCGGTTAATTAATTGACAAGGTCAAAATTTATTTAAACCACTATTTTTTTTTACGGGTTGCCTATACAAAACTCCTTAAAAATAGACCGCATACAATTTCCATGTATACGAAAAACTATAATATGTGAATTATTACATTTATTACAGAAAATGTATAACATACGATAACATGCTTGCTTATATATATACATAAATAAAACTAGTTACCAATTATAATACAGAATATAAATTTATATCTATTACATGTACTCACCATGCTAGGTAGAGACGTTATAGTCAATGCTAGATAATAGGACTTGAGCCCGTACCAATGGTTGAAGTATTCACGCCGCAACAATTTAATTTCGGTAGGAACTTAACAGAACAAATAAAACACCGTAATTTTAATTTACTTAACTGAGTAGAAAACATGCGACAAATAGAGTATTCCATTTTAAGTATTTTGCATGGTTTGCATTTTCAAAAGGGGAGAAAGGTATAGAAAACAATAGGGATATTTAAAACGTTGAAAATAAAAGGGTTAAATAAAATTTATAGAATCCACCTATTATGTTCAGAGAAAAAGATAAGCAAGTATCTAGGATCAGTAAATCAGTTATGTGTGACAAAACAATACCATTTAAAATTAAATAGAAATTGTGTTTACCTAATGCAATTATAGTAAAGTCAGGGATAATGACGCATGTAAGTAAATGTTAGGCTCTGACTTGTTAGAATGACAGAAGAACAAAATAGACGAAATGTAAGAACTAGGAATGTAAATATAAAGGCTTGAAATAAGAAGGAAAGTACCAAATCGTATATAAATAATACAGTCTAAAACATGAACACTTTCTAAAGTTTCGTCAATTGGGGCTTATATTTTTTAATTGTGTTGTAAGAGTGATTATAATTTTACTTGTTTATAGTTCTATAACTTAATAATAATTGACTTTTTAGCCCGAACAGAAAAAGTAGTAGGATAAAACGAAGAACGATAAAAGAGATATTTTGTTTTCTAAAACACGAAATATTTATAATATGTATACTTACAAGTGAGAACGGGTCCCATAACATGAGTGTAAATAAAGAATACGATTACACTGATGCAAAATTTGAAGTTTTCAAACGGTCTACCGCCATCTACTCCAATACCACAGTAAATACTTCCAAGTAGCAATGCAGAGATTGCATGATGAAAAAATGATATATATAACCCTACCTATATGGATCAAAAATGCATGTCATTATTATTTATATTTGTTCTATCCAATAACACAACTATGTATACTTAATAATTGACTTACAGAATTTCTTGCAATTTGTTTGGTTCTCCTATCTAATAATATGGTAAATTGTGTACAAAACGATGATGAATGTCCAGAACATTTTTTGTCGGCAGTCTCTAAATTATCAAACACAGGAGGCAATAATGCCAGCGTTTCGTTGCGACCTTGTGAATAGAAAATTTCAAGATAAATTTGTTGTCCTGATTAATTTTACATACAGTTATAACTTATACCGATTAGTGACTTACAGAGTTTTGAAGTAGGTGATTTTGTTTCCATATCGTTGATGTCATCACAGAGTATAATTTTTCCATTTTGAATTTCCCTATTCAAATCGACAATTGTGTCGTTGTCCAACACTTCAAATACTGTAACAAATAATAGGTTTATAAAATGCGTTTAAAAAAGTTAAAAGTATAGAATAAGAGAATACACAAGTGTTTGTTAACCGGCTGAGCAATGCTAAGCGGATAGTTTATACATTTCTGATAGATAATTGTGTAAACATGGTCAATAGTGTTACATTCATATTTCAGACTTCAACATTAAACAAATAATATGTAAAGAAATAATATGAATAGCCTACTTAATATGGGCTATATTGCCTTGAATAATGAATCACAAAAAACATATTTTTTCGTATAAAAACAATAGTTGCTGACAATGAGCATTTACTATTGTAGTGTTTTTTACTATTGTTGCAGTTATTAAATAATAACGTACTATGAAAATAATAAAATATGTATTATAAAATGGGTTACGAATTACATACGCTTTTGTGGATTAAACAATAGAGTAATTAGCTTATTAACATAATTGTAATATAGGATAACATAATCCTATATTACAATTTACAAATGCCAAAGGCGCTATTTCACTAAAACAGTTGTAATGCAATATTTACTATAATACATTAATAATTAAATTAAAATCTAAATATTTTAAGTATCTTCCTCCATACCCAACAAACCCCATACTTAAATGTATTACAAAGAAAATAATTGTTTACATAACGCTAAATTATGTTAAACCATGTAACCTTATAGATAATAACATCTTGCTAAATTGTCATAAGTGGCTGGATTAGTTGTCAGTACTTTTAGATTCAAGGTACAGGATGTAGTATTTGATTTATTTATTGGCAAAAACCTTTAACCGTTATTCAAATTTCTGAAGAAAGCTTGTTTTGATGGTCGATTGGAATTATTTCACACAACAGAATTAATAAAGAATAAATTACCAGTAAGAGTGTGTACAAATCTGATTTTATACACAAATCCGTCATTTTCAATGGCATTTACTTGTATATTAAACGTATTCAATAATTCTACCATAATACTGGTATGAGTAGCATTGAGAATTGTTCATTTGAGTCATTTTTTTTTTTAATCGAATCGAAAGGTTAAACACATATTTATACATCTTTCCGGATATTATTACAAGGCTTTAGATTTTTAAACAGATAGCAACGCTCACTACATTATCCAGAGTAAAGTAAATAAAAAAAAAATAAAAGTTATATTATATCATTAAACTAACAATAATAATAATAAAACTGAAGACAAGTATGCATACCAATTACTAGTTACATCCCGCTAAAAATTAGTTCATAAGCTATACAAACATTTTATTTACTTATTGAATTTTTAGTTGTGAAATTTCAGGTTAAATAACTTTGATGATTAAGTAACTTTAAAGAAAGACTTGCGGGTCTTTGTAGTAAAACTTTTCTTTCTCTATGTTTTCGGCAATTTTTTGTTTTTAACAAATTTTTAACCTTCGCTCCGGTATAATACGTTTTTATCTTAGATGCGAAGGCAAGAATACCTAGTATAAGATAATAAAATTAGCAAATTGTCAACACTAATTGTAAAGTGTTTAATGGTTTGTCTAGTTTTAGATAATACTTATATAGTAAATATGTTACTACACATTTTAGTTATGTTTATCGTGTTTTCCTAATTCAATTAGCGTCTAGTTGCGATCAAGTAAATTGATTAACATGATATCATATCGAGCACGTAATCAAATACACTATGTACTAATACTAATACACAGTGTACTTAGTCTAATACATCTATGTACTAATTACTAAGTGTTGACTTACCGAAATCGGCCGGGTTGTGCGTGGGTTTGCACACGTGGCCGATCTGGGCGAGGAACGGAACGAGTTGCCTGGGCGTTCCGTTGTAAATGCACGAACCCCTGGCTAACATGTACACGTGGTCAAACATATGGAATAATGATGAACTTGGCTGATGTATCGTGCACACCACGGTCCTTCCTTGTTTGGCGAGTTCCACTAGTAGCGTGACGCATTGTTTTATCGCTACAATGTCCAAGCCCCTAAAAAAGAAACGTTTGATGTGACAGTTTTGGCAGTTTTCACGCACGAGGCTTCCTAGGTCACACGCCACAGCGTCGAGTCCATTAGTGCAATTATTGTAAATTGCACTAATGACATTATTTTAAGGATCAAGTTGTAAACACCGGGTCTGATTTATAATAAGTAGTTGAAATATAATCTTATTATACGTTACAATATCGCTTGTGGTTTTCAACGTTGGGACGGTGAACCAAAAACCATACAACGTTAGGGGTCAACCGGTCGGGGGATGTGACAAACCGAATTATTAGCGGTGGCCGTACGCGACACTTACGTGGTTGGCTCGTCCAAAAAAATAACCGGCGGATTGTTCACCAGTTCCAAGGCTACGGACAGCCGCTTGCGCTGACCTCCTGACAACTTTTCCACAAATGTGTTTTGGCACACCGACACCCCCAACAGTTCCAGCACCTCGTCGACCTTGAACATAAAAAATATTATGTCAGCTGTTGTTCCTTACTCACGGCCTGCACGGTTACAATTAAACAACGAAACGTATTATTGTTTCTGAAAACGGCTTATCACCATCAATAAGGAACCGGTAATCATGTGCGCCGACGCCGATCTTCAGCACTACTCTGTAAACTTCCGGCCTCACTTAGTTTTCGGAGACTACCGGTATTAATGCCGACAGTAAAAAACCCGCATCGCGAGATAATGTTTTCGTTATTGATGGCAGCTAAACAATAAACATTTAGGAAATCTATCGTCGTTAAACTTAAAAGCTATCTATAACATGATATTCAATTAATGCGCATGATACCACGTTGGAAATCTCAATCGGTCACCTTGGATGTTAATCACCGTTTTCTAACTAAGTGGCACATTTTTAAACGAGTCATCGTCTATGCGAGATTTGTACAAATTTCAGCTTAAAAATGGCGCCTAAATTTAATACTACTATAACGATAATTATACATGTTGGCTATAAATCTTTTTTTATTTGTAAATAATTTAAATAGTATTACACCATTTACACCGTAATCTGTTAACGTGGTTTTACCGTGTAAACATAGGGAAAATAATAAAAGTGTAAACATAATTATTCTCCTTAAATAATTGCAGTTTTATAGTTTTTCTTTATGAAAACGTTATTTATGGTTTTTTTTTTTTAATATTATACAATTACTAAGTATTTACGTTTTTTAATTTTTCCAGAACGCTTCAATAGGATCGTACAGATTTAATTAACTTTTAAATTAAGAACAATTTGCTGAAAATATGAACTGGTCGATAACCATTTTTGGATAATTACTTTTAAAGAAAGGGTGGAGTGTAGAGTTATTTTTATCTGCGCACATTACTAAAACCGCACTCCTATCTCCCGTCCTAAATTTTAAACTTACCAAAACTGGTTATCGACAAGTCAACACTTTCAGCAAATTATTCTACTTCCAAAAAGTTTGTTAACCCTGAATATTAACCTTATTTTTACCCTTTTATTGCTAACCATTCGTCGATTTGACAAAACGCATATAAATAAATAAAATTACTCTGATTGTTTTCTTTACTTATTATAAAATAAATATAATAATATAAACAGATAATAAGTATAATATATATAGGTTCCCATTTACGTTTCAAAAGTCGATAGAACTCTGGAAAATACTAAAAAAATGTAAATATTTAGCCATTTTATAATATTTAAAAAAAACAAAAATGTGTGTGAGGAGGGCAAGTGTTTGTGCATGATGGCCCCCCTTCACCCTGACTGAGGCAAATCATACAATTAATAAAGTTTACTAGTAGAGCTAGCTTAGCAAAAATGCCAGCAGTTGTAATTTGCAATATTACTTTAGTTTAAAAAAATTAAGAATCTGTCTACATTTCTGCTTAGATAAGTACGAATATAATAGTTATTATTATATATATATAAGAGGTGTATAATTTATGTAATTTCCGGTGGAATTCAATTCTGTCTACACTTTCTACACGGTGTCACGTGTGGTGTTTATAAAATATGTTTACATTATGCGTACCGAAGTTAATTTATGTTGGTAACACTTGACGATCGAATTACGGTAATTTTAATAGATGCGTTTTACGTATACGAAAAGAAATGATCAAATTCTTTATCTATCCATATGATTTCTTTTTTACCCATTTCAATTTTTGTGGTCCGAGTTTTTCGTTATATTCCTTATGTACCTTATCTACTCAAGTGAATATCGAATTTTTAGTTATACGATTTAAAGCTTTAGTTTTACCTATATAGTATATACCTACTTAATAACGGGTTTACTGGTTTTGACCATTTATGCATATTATAAAGTATAGGTCAAGGTAATTGATATATTACGACCTTAAAAAAAAAATAGTAAATTTGCGTGATATTGTGAGAATTTAACTTTAATTTATCGTTTTTTCCTGCTAACCGTTTCCTTTTTTCGATTTTTAAGCCATGCATATAACAATGCCACTAATAACTGTTAAATTATTATGTTTATATTTTTTAAAAAGTTAACAAGGTGCAAAAAAATACAAATTTTTTTGCACGGTATATTCGAATAAAAATAATTTGTTTTACGCAAGTGAAAATACAGTAAACGGCTGCAATGGGTAATAATAATTACACAGCAATAAACTTACCGCTTTGTTTTTATCTTCATCGGACAACTCCTCCCCAATCTTTAACCTTGCCGCATATCTCAGAGATTCTAAAACGGTTAATCTGGGTTGCAGTAGATCTTCTTGCATGATGTAAGAGGAGAGTTTTTTAAATAGATGCATATTTCTCGGGTGGCCGTTTGTTAAAATCTGTCCTTTGATATTTGACCGTCTAAAATACATAATAATAAATAATTAATTTAATAATAATAAAATGAAGTACCTACTAATTAGGTGTTATAACTTATAACGAACTTAAGTACAAAAATAAGAATTGTTCGTTAATATACCATTTTAAAATAACAACTACAACCGTAAAAATAGTGTATTAACTCGAATTTTGTACAATCAAATTCCAGAATGAATCTTTTAGCTTCGATTTGGAACAGAGAAGGTATATATAAGTTTTACAATGATGTGTGTTTTTTTGTCACACGATGAACGCCCTAATGATAAACTATATTTATTTTTCTCTCCTTAAATGGCATTTATTGCTATTTTTTCATTACCGGCAACATCAACTGTTTTGGTTATTAACCTACATAAAATTATTTTAGCTTTGATGCGTAACTGAGAAGTTATAGTTCATACAATAGTATATTTTTCGAAATACGGATCATAATATTTCCCATGCCACTGAGCTGATTTCTTCGTGTAGCAAGCGAAGGCATGCTGTATAAAATCGTACTTGGAGGGTTTTTATTGGGCAAAAATTAAAAAAATTCACTCCTTCCTGTCAAAATCGAGAAAACCACCGTAAAAATGTACGAATTTTTCAAAAATATTAATTTTTAAAATTAAATTATGAACTCTGATTTTTAAGAAGATGGTACTATCATTTGTATGGGGTTTTCTTTTAATGGATTTACTAATTGCAATCGACAATCGTTTTACTGTAGGTTTTGTCACTTTTTCGTTGCCGAATAGTACAACTGGACGTTTGTAAAATAATTGTATTATTGTACAATAACATACATATTATTGATAATGTTTGGCAGCAGGATATTATGCATTAGCCGTGTTGTAATGTACACGGCGCTGATACTTACATTGCGGCGAGATTTAATATATTTTACCGGCTTAGTCATAATATCTTATAGCATTATTATATTATTAACTACCGGGGGCGTTTGTCTATCGACGACGCGGGTACTACCGCGGTAAATCTTATACCTAGTTTACGCAATTAAGAGAGTATACAATATTATTATATCTTCTATACGTCTTGATCGACTGCGGACGTTAGTCCTTGGCCCAGGTCTGTCGATCGATTTGTGTTTTCAGAGACAAATAGCACGGCTGACGGCCTACAGAGATGCGTTTGCAACAAATATACAATAATAATACCGGTTTTCTAATGTCACCGCCGTTGTGCTTTCAATGCGAACGGGAAACTTACACGTAACCGGCGAGGATATTCATCAGCGAGCTCTTTCCAGCGCCAGAAGGACCCATGATGGCTGTAAGGTGCCCCGAGCGGAAGAAGCCATTCACGCCCTTTAGTATTGCCCGTTCTCCTGTAACAAAAAAAAAAAACAATTACACAAATAAATAAACAACACTATTATCCTCTCGGTGTCCTTGACTAAGTCTAACATAGTAAAACAATCGCATATATTGTGAAACCTGAATTGGGTACGCAGTATTGGCGGTTAAGCATAGCTGGCAACAGGATCGACGGAATGGCATAAGCATACGCGGATTTAGGAATAACCTGAATCGTATAATAGCAATATTATTATAATGTCAGCAGTACCTACCACCTCTAATAACAGGCAACGTGTCTTGTGCTCGTAATTCGGTTTTCCAGACATTAGTTTAAAAATAATAATGTCGTTTGTAAAAATTCATATTTATGACGCAAATGTGTAAACAAGTTAATAAATAGATTAAAATCGTATCGAAACTGTTCTATGTTTACGTTTTACAAATACTATTTTTAAATGAATTAATTAAGCATTGAAATTTGTAAAAACGCCAATGCCAAGGCTCAAGGTCCTTTCCGTGACTCAAATAATGTCGTAAAGTTCACATAATGTCTTCATGTAGGCAGTAGCGTGCTCGGCTTTATTCAACGAGGGTTATATGTAAAGGGCAACAACTTATAAAATGTTCACTTTGCCCACAAATATATTTTTCAAGTTTACATTTTATATTATATATATTTAAGAAAAACGTCCAAGGAAGGATATATCTTCATCCTTCCTTTTTGTGCAAATCACTGCATGCAGGCATTTAAAACACATAACGTAACTAGGTATTTGAGTTGTTGAGTTCAAACGACTTTTGCAAAAATGTATTATCGTTTTCGTTGTCTTCGAAATCGTCTAAATATTTAAATACAACGATCAGTGGCTGCCGAATGACAAAAAACAATGCAGCAAGGGCATATAATAATGTTGATACTTAGCAGTGTAAAATATTATCAACCAAAAATGAGACCTTAGCCGCATAGTATAAATCTTGATCCGGTCAAACGTGATTCAAAATCAAGCTCTAGTTAATTTAATAGTTAGCATAATTAAGTTCATAAACTTAGTTCAGTGAACACGGAAAATATATTATTATAGATAAAGTACAATCATTACGTTTGATTTTGTTACACACATATTTATAGGTGTTCAAGCTGTAATGATTTTCGTACAAAAAACAAGCTTTGTTAATTGATTTTTCAAGGTCTTGCTGTCATTAATTTTTTAAACATGGCCAGTAGTACAAAATCACTTTCAAAAAAACAAAAATTCAATGAATACCTGTTAAACAATTTTTTTAATACACCAAAATCAAATTCAAGTTTTTGACAATTATTACACTATATTTATTAGTAATAGGTAAGTAAGGTTCATAGACCTCAATGACCACGGTTGGGTTACTTGGGTTGATTGGAAGGAATGACATAAGAAAATTGACGGAGTAAAGAATTCATAAAAATATGAACTGTATTGAATTGTATCACTTGAAGTGAAATGTAATAATAATAAACAAGACTCACAAGGATACACGGAAAACTATTAGTTATTTATTTAAAAGTTACATTTTTAGTTCTGAACGTGTCAAGAGGCGCATAAGGTATTTTTTATTTCTATGTCCTTGGAGAGCCGTAAAGAATTAGTTTTATCGCCGAAATCTTTAAACGAACTATGTTATTAATTGTCGTTCATAGACATTTTAAGAAGTATTTATGGTTATTAATATGTAACATTGAAGATCTTAATTTTCCGAACATTCTATTTAATTACTAACTGAAAATAATTGAGCCATCAAGGTTTTATTATTCTTCCATAGGTAGTAAAAATATATCTACTCTGTCTTTAAGGAAAAATCTTAAGATGTTATTTACTTCTTAGCTGTTATGCACTACGATAATATTAATAATCGATTTGAAAATATCGTTAAATAACTTTTTACTCAGAAACTGTATTTTCTATACTATATATAATTTACAAAAAGTTGTTTAAGTATTAATAACAATATTCTAATAATTACCAATAATATAATACTATAAATATAATATCAAACAACATTTTGTAAATAATATTTGTAAAACATTAAATTCATTTTAAAATGTTAAAAAAACTTTTTGATAAAACTATGAAAACATTTTATTTTTCTAATGACTAGATTACTACAAAAAGACAAGTCTTCATTTACTTACATGTTTTCATGTCTTTAAATACTTGAAATTATTTTAATATAGTATTACTAACTTTATTCCCGTTAACTATTATTTGTTATTTGGCAGCCATTTTTATTAGCCACTAGTGCTTGTTATTTCGAGATTGATTTACTAATTTAGTTTGTTTTTTGTTTATTTTAGATTTTTTTTCGTTTAGGGTTGTTGCAGTAGTGAGAAATAGAGTACCTGAGTGATAACAGAATTTAATCCCACTAAGCTATTGGGTAAGCATTACATAAACAAGTTAATACGTTTCCCTTGTGATGGTGTTTATTTTTTATTTTAATAAATCAACCATAAAACACATTATCCTCTGTGCGAATCTCAATGTAAATTATTTCAATTCCGTTCGCGCTTGGCAAAATGATCTAAAATTACTATATTTGAGGTTCCTATTTCATTATGATCGCGCTAATTTTTTATGAAGCTAATGCGTTTTTTATTAAGGAAAAACCGGGTCAATGTTGATGTACACACGTCATGAATAAACAACATAAACTATTAGAATAGATTTATGCGGTATAGCTTGTCCAAACAATAATACCATAATTTATAACGATAGCTGTCGGTGAGTCATACAAATTTGTATAAATTAATAACTTCAATTTTGCCTAATAAATCACGGGTGATCTTAAAAATTAATTTGTGTTTTTCCCATTTTAATTGAAAACCGGTTAAGTAGGTAACAAATAGTATAAAATGTTCGTATTTAGCTGTCATTCGAAAAATGCTTATTGCAAGATGACATTAAAGGCTGGTGTTAACGAAGGTCATAATAAATGGTAATTATACTCCTTCGACCCGGATTTGGTAGGTTCGTCAGTAGTATTTATGTCCATTTCTCTACGCATTAATACACTTCATTTAAAGTGTGTATTATACAATTCTCCGTTCTACAATTCGGAATGCATGAATCATGGTTTTACCTAACATAATATTAAACAAATCGCTATTTCAGCACATTAGTCTATTTGTTTGTATAAACACCATGCCAATGAGGTTAATCAAACATAATACTTTGCTAATTTCGAAGGGTTGATAAATTTCACATTAACGCGTCTTATTTAGCTTATTTTTTTGGAAACTGATATAAAGAAGAAAAATAGTTGCTATATTATACAATTTATCGTTTACTTATTATTACACATCGCTACCTTCTTGACCGCAATACGGTTGTTTTTGCATAAACCTGGGTTAGTGGTCACTGGTTATACTCATTATCAAACATGTTTATAAGACTTTAGTTAATACTGGTGAAAACTTCACGAAAACAATGATAATAATTTAAAACAATTATCGAAATAATGTAGGTTTTTTTATATTAAATTCTAGTCGTTGTGGAGTTTGCTTTACTTAATTAGTAATCACTTATTCATTTGTAATTGTAAAAATTAGAATATAAGTTATAACTTATAACGAATAATGATTATGTTAGTATCATTGAGTATAAACTATAAATACATTTAAATTAATAATCAATGGCTGGTAATATGTAATACCGGTTTTATCGGGTATCGGTTTTATTTTAATATCGGTTCATGGTTTTTGCAAAAAATGTTGATTTTTAATATATCGGGTATCGATTTTAAATCAATGATATATATAAATATTTATATATTATATCGAATTATCGGTAAATGTGGTATCGACCCATCCCTAATTATAAAAATACTGCGATTATTCGAGTTCAAAAAGTAACGTAAAAATTAAAAAGTAATAGTTGATCAAACAGAATAACAAGTTTTTTTTTATCACAACCGTTTTCTCCTATATCTAATCTGATTTCTTTTAAATTTATTTGCCATCTGTGTTGTTCATTAGTATTTAAACCGAAGAATTTTCAGTTTCTATTAAAATCTACAATGAATCTTATATTTTATGTACAGATTGAACAATTTAACGTAAAACACTCATTTTCTGCTTAAATTCAGAAAAATTGCATTATTTTTATTTTTCTTTACTGTTTTTAAAAATTTCGATAAATAAATTTAAAAGAAACCCTAAAGTTTAAAACAAATCGATGTATTGGAATAACGATAGCCAGTATTCGTCTCGAGGACAATTTACTTTCATTGAATTTTTTCACTGTTGTGTTGTTACAGTTTAACCTTAATCGGTCGACTGATAGTCGTAGGCTTAGTTTTCATTGTTATAGTATGATAGCAATAATATTGAGCGAAACAATACCCATAATAAATCTGTGAAAAAAAACCTAGACATTTTTAGAGGATACACATACATCGTTAGAGACTGATATTCTTTTTAAATAATGTAGCTAGAGGGTAATCCGTAATAGCTGGTTAAATGCGGGTTTTAATACTAAACATATGGATCATTTGTAGATGCATTTTTCTTGGGTTAGTAATTTGAATGTTTAACAAACAGCGCGTTTGTTTGTGTCGTGACCAAATAATTAAATAACTCGGTATATAGAATATACAATGTCCTACACTCATTTGAGATTATCTGCCTATCTACCTAGTTAGGATACCTTGTCAAAACTGTTTGTCGCAAAACGTTCATTGAAGCGAATAGGTTTCAGAAACCGTCTACACGTTATTATATACCTACTAAAAAAAAAATGAGTTACGCAATGATAATATTTTTTTTTATTATTGTGTTATTAAATATGGTATCACGCTGAAAGCTAGTCTTAACAATGTGTACAAAAGGCGACTGTCAGGCTTCTTGCTAATTTCTCTTTCTGATCACAGAGTGTAGTAATTGCCAAATAATCTGCTAATTCTCTTATTGTTTTCTTATAGCGCTTTCTTTTGATTAACCGAACAATCGAGTTCAATTAGGTGCGAGAAAATACATATTTCGAGTTAGTTTGAAATAAGAAGCGTTTATTACATATTATTCTATGTATAAATTTGTACAACCACCGTGAGCAACTTGGGTCGCTGGCGTCAATACACTAGTCTACTTACAAAGCGTTGATATAATATTGGTCAAAACATTTCAGACGCCTTACACATATTATGATAATATTGTTTACTTAGTGTATTGTTGGTTATTAATCTATCTATACTTTTGGCGCTTAAAATAGTCATTCTCGTGCTCAGCAAGTTTTGACCAATGAATATTACATTGAGTTTGCTCTCAATTAGAGTTTTGAGGGAAAAAAACAGAGTTTACTATTTTTTTATAAAAGGCACAACAGTGTATTGTGTAGCAGATTTGGCCGAAATTCGAGATGGATCAAAGGTATGTGGATCTTAAGAGTATTTATTTATCTTCGGCCACGATAATCGCAATGTATGTAACACATTTTTTTGGCGTACCTGCTGTAGTGTCCACGGAATAGGTCAAGTCGTGGAATTCGATGTCGACGGCCGGCCGTTTTGCCTTGTGCGTTAAAGTCTTCATCTCGGCCCGGGTAGGAATCCTGGTGATTGGCCGGTCCATCGACATGCTGAACATTCTGTTCCTGCCGGTGCCGTCGTCGGCCACGCCGTTCTCTTCCTCTTCGGTGCTGCTGCCGTTGCCGTCGTCGTCGTCGTCGTCAATCATCGCTGCAAATGACACGGTGCTTTTGACTCGGCCCATGGACGGCACCGGTTCGTCGGCCGTTTGTACGGTCATGGTGTCGCGACGGCTGTCTGTTCGGTCGACGGTATAACGTTATAGTAGGTATCAAAGGTTAGTAAACTTTGGTAGACGGTAAAAACGGTATAAATGCGGTCAATAACTTTTTACGGGTTTCACAGTATTTTGAGTTGTCCGTTTGAAATTGTATTTTATTGTAAATTAATTCACGACACTGAAATCCGGAAAAAGCCGGTGGATACCCGTTTGCGATACAACGCGTACAGCATCTACGGTTTGTTTGTCGCGTCGACCGCCGTGCGGTTCGGCTGAATAAACTAGTTTGCCGCCTTTCCGTTCCGTCCGCTCACCCCACCCAACCGTCGCGTCGTCGCATGACACGCTCATGCCGACCGGATGGAAAACACATATACACACTGACACAACGAGCCGTTTGCGCACAAGGAGGGCATCCTCGACAATGGTTCGGCAAGTGACTTACTGGCTATTTGGCAGTGGGCATTACCGTTCTACGTTACTACAGAAATTATCTGTTACTATTACATTATGTTTACAAATAGTATACTGATGGTAAACACATGTGCGTAAGCTTTCCATAATGACCTAGTTCGTCCAGTTTTCCATAAAACTTCGACCGTTAAGTAGTTATAGTCGCCAGAGATGCTTAGGAAGTATAAATTACTTATTAGCATCCCCAATTTTAAAATTAGCACCCTAATATTTTTCGTGTTTATGTATTAAAACCACCGCTTATAAAAATGTTTGGAAAAACCAAAAACTTTTTGTAAAATATAAACTATAACAGTATTTTTTATTATTCAGTATCATTTATCAATATCAGATGGCTGTCACACTTCCCAATAGTTCAGCAATTTGTGAACGCTCGTTTTCTGCTCTAAGAAAGATAAATACTTAGTTTAGGGTTTCAATAGAACAAGGCAGGTTTATAGATTTGTCAATATTATAAATACAAAAAGATATGACCAATTTAATTAACATAAACAAAGTTATAGACGTATTTGCAGACTATAAAAGGCATATAACTATTGTGTAAAATATCTGTGAGTTGTAATATTGTATTCATTTTTATTATTTTTTGTTATAATTTTTAAAATGATAACAAACAAAGTGTTAAATGTGAAATTGTTACACAATATCCTAGCTCAAAAAAACATTAACATTATTAATTTAAATTAAAATTTAAACATCTGGAAAGTACAGAGCTTAAGCACCCTCAGGTTTTTTTTATTGAAATTGCCTTGTCTAAAAAATGTACTAGCTCAAAAATTATTATGTTAGGTAATTCGATGAAAATTGCTGTAAAGACAATAACTGCATTTTTAGTATTATGGTGGATACGTTTGGGGTTGATCGTCTGTTTATAATACAATTTTCTTGTTGTTACCCATAAAACGTAATTAACAATATAATTTTATCAGATACCTGTTAGGATGACTGTTGATTCATTTACACGTAGAGTCTAGAAATTTAATATGGCATTAATGTGATTTTTGGGGGATTAGTTCTTGTTATGTTTTTGGTTTGTCAACGTAGGTATATTTAGAGATATTTATTGTAAAATATGTAAAGATTTTGCGTGTTTTTCTCGGGTTTATAGGGAAAGGGGTGAACCTTTTACATTTTTAGCACAGTGAAGTATCTTTTAGATTTTTGGTCTATACACTTGTTGTTACACGGAGAAATCGGTGCAGCGGTTTAGAAGATACCGTAGGTTCAAATACACAAGAAAAAAATAAAAACACATCATTGTAAAAACAATACAATATACTGCGGGGAATGGTGTGGAGCAATGGTCATTGGTCACCTCAGTTGTCAATTGCCATTCGTATGGTACCTTATATAAAACAAAACATTTGTTCAAGATCACTTGGGAAACATGGAAACAATTATCCTACAAGCGATAAAAGCAATGTCTATCGCAAACTATTTCATAAGATCAGAAATACCTTTAGGGCAGAACACGGATTTTGGTTTCAGAACATGATTGTTTGACGGTCAAAAATATATAAAACTACTATATTATAAAACTAATTCGTTGAGTACAGTTAATATATTATTACATTTTTCTCAAGTTATGAGTAAAAATTCAATGTCACGGCTAATAAATTTAAAATGTTATCTAATATTTCGGAATTCATTATATTTACCGAGGTATAACTTCGCCCATTGCCATAACATTATATTTATATTTTAACCTTCACAGCCCACAATTTAATAAAAATGTACTTCTCTACTAATTTGATAGAGTCAATTAATTCTTATAACTAATTCTAATTATTTATAAGTCATTTTAAAAATTATTTATACAAGTAATAAACTTTGTTGTGGGAGCTCTGGAGTAGCAGGGGAATAGCAGGCGTATATAAATCATTTCTGTGGTGGGATAAAATTGCTATTATATAATAATTATATTGTATGTAGATATTGTATAACGGTAACATTTAGCCGCCCGTTACCACTCGCCTCCAAATATGCAATAATTGCATTTTCTGCCAATTAGCACGTAAGACGGCAGGGGAGACAGCGAACACACACGACAATACCCCAAGGACCGCGGCCTAATAAATCTCAAACCATTAGTTCTTATTTTGTGTTACTTAACTATTTTATAATATATCTTTTAACTTTAACCCTACTCGTGTGTCCGCCCAACTCCGCCATTACCTGGACTAACTACAGAGAACGCTTTAGAACCCAGGCAGTGGTGTAATATATAAGTATACTTAACATTTACTTCTACAATAAAACGGTTACTTATTTGTTGCATACCTATATCCCGGTATAATTTACGTTAAGACAGCGGTTGGGTTTCGTGCACCTTACAAATGTGTGGTAAGATGACAAAAATTAATGTGTCACTTTTTATTCAATTTTGGTGTAATTACACCGATATGTTTTCCTAAAGTGATAAAATATGGTATACCTGGATGCTTTCACTATCAAGGTATGATTGTTAGTATGAATGCTAATATTGAAGAATAGATTTTGCTGAAAACTTTTAATTGTATTTTCTCGAAAATTGGAAAAGTAACACCAATTTTAATCGAGAATAACTGGTTTTATTTACTAATTTTCTGCGTGTAATAATTAATTCTATTTAATATTTAAAAAAAAATTAACTCTACTCCGGTCACTATACCCGAGCAGCAGACCAAAACTTGTCTGCAGCCGCCGACGAAACAAGGTATCTTCTTAAAGTGACCGGAGTATAAAACATCCATTAAATTAGTAATAATTACATTTTTTCATTGACTAAATGCATAAAAGAAATAAATTCATCTGTAATTTATTTTTATCGTTTTTATTGGCTGTAATAACATGATTTACACTTCAAAGACGATAAATTATATTTTTAAAAACAACTAACTACACAAATTAATTTAGTACTATTATACTTAGAATCACTTGTAAACCCAAATGTATTTTCCTGAAAACTTTTGCAAAGTATTTTTGAATGTCTATATACCAAAATGTTTCCCCATAAGAAATGCACAATAAAAATGTATTTAATATTTACACTAAGTATAAATATTTATTATTTAGCTTTAGATTAAGAATAAATAAATGTTTAATGTTTTCCAAATTGTATAAGTATTTTTTTTCCGTTCAGTTATCAGAGCAAATCATTGAAATGGAAATGATGATAAAGCTGAAAGTACTTAAATTATGAAAATCTGATTGTTTTTTTTAAAGACTGTTTTCATTTTATGTTAAATATTATATTATAAGAGTGGTATTTAGGAGGTTAAACGAAATGGAATGACGAATTTCAAAATGGAGGCTGAAGATTGGATGGAGCGAGAATGAGCTTTATGGCTGTTACCATTTGTTAAAAATTCGGGATAGTCAATTTTGCTATTTATCAGTTAGTACACCAGTATTATAGCTTATCAGTTAAGGAGTAAGAAAATTGTCGGCGATCCATGGCTTATAATAGAATACTATATTGAGTTTAACTTGTTATTTATTTGTAATAGTTCATAAAATTTAATTAGCAAATTACAAAGTAATAGTAGGTATGTATTTTACGACCACGATATTATATTATATACTTGCATGCTTAAACGTGTACCTTCATTAGTTTAATTTATATACTACAAATTTAGTGTTTTGATTTTCCTCAATAAAATATAAACCTAATCATTTTATACCACTATTATCCGTTTATGTGTTTTTTTTATTCTTCGAGTTAACTCTTAATTTAAGCTTTTGACTCATAGTGGTATTTTATTGAATCCACCATTTTTATATTTTTTCTGCGATTGTTAATTGCGGTATAGAAATGTGGCGCATATAAATGTTTAAATGAGTATACCAGAATAATAGTTTAACTTTCGATTGGTTGCAACGACGACCGTTATCAATAAATGTTTATATTGCTTAAGTTTCATAAAAAATAAAACATTTCTATGTATGTATAATTATTTATTATGTTTATTTTACTCTCTTAGAAAGTACCTTAAGTACCTGCAATTAATGCGTTACAACGATGAACAAGACTTTTGGTGTCTAATTGCTCAAGGGTAGTAATTATATTTGGTTGTAGTATAATCTACTGCGTTAATGGTGTTGATGGGTTTCTTCCGTTCTTAACACCTTTATTGTATGCGTGGTAGTGTAGTACCTAACTAAAACAAGAAATTTGTATGCTGGCAAAATGCACATAAAAAAATAATTAACAAGTAATTAAAAAGATACTTTGTGCGTTTCGTCATAGTTGTAATATTTCAAACAAACAAACAAACAAACGTAAGTGCCTGTTATTACTAATACACATCATTCAAGTTGTAAACCCGTGTGTCAGTAGATTCTAAAAAAACTATGATTTAGATATTATGTGCACGAAAAACCATCATATATAGCTGTCAGTCGCATCACCAAACTTTGTAGAGCTCATTTTTCACGCTTCCTGAAATATGGGAAAGACCAGTGAATGCTCAATAAAGAAATGCAACCTTGCCAAATGTACAATTTGTATATTGTGGCAGTCATTATACAATTAATTTCAAGGTCTTCTGTGTTTTCAAATTTTTACCAAAAAAAAAAACTCACGAGCACCCAATTACCTTTTTTTTATCACAAATTTATCTTGGAACCTTTGCTACCTTTCCACTATGATATTCTTTCCGATGCTCTATTAAGTAGGTACCTCATCATCTAAGTTTCATTCAAGTTATTTTCAATTCTAGATCACACGCGGTCTTAACTATAACACAGCGTCTAACTTCAACGCATTTTCTTCTGTCTTTTTTCCATGTATTTTTGTTCATAAATTATACTCCCAGAGCTATCTTCCATATTCCTTCATTCTATATTTCCTTCAA